AAATCGAGACAGGGAAAGAATCATGCATCCATCCTGCCTTTCCTGTCTGGATTATTTCAGGGCCCCTGGTTGGTTAGAGCACTACTTTTCTTTATAGGAGAACTAGAGGCCTGATGCACAAAATTCGTGCAAGAATAGGCCTTCCTTCCCCCCGCTGCCGGCACCAGCTGGCACCCGGGACCCGGGCTTCCCTCTCCGCCCCGGCTTCGCCCAGGTCATCCGAAGGTCATTGGGAAGGACGCCCGGTCTAATTAGCATATTACGCTTTTATTATTATAGACGGCAGCTGTAGGAAAGTAAGTGATAGAAACGGAAGTCACCGTTGCCAGCCCTTCAGGGTAAAACTATTAGATAAAAGGCTAATGTTTTGTTTTTAAAAAAATATATTTTATTGATTTTTTACAGAGAGGAAGAGAGAGAGCTAGAAACGTCGATGAGAGAGAAACATCGACCAGCTGCCTCTTGCACACCCCCTACCGGGGAGGTGCCCGCAACCAATGTACATGCCCTTGACCGGAATAGAACCTGGGACCTTTCAGTGCGCAGACCGACGCTCTACCACTGAGCCAAACCGGCTTCGGCATAAAGGCTAATGTTTTTTATTAGCTTGGCTTCTGGCTTTGGTTTTAGTTTAGGTTTGTTTGTGTCTTTTTTTTTTTTTACCTGAAAAAAAATTTATTTCCATGTGTACCAGACAAACATGTACACCTTGGAATGTAGCTTTGCAGAGTCTGGGCCCTGGGCAGCAGAGGATGACACACCAGAGGCCCGGCCTGCCCTCGGGGTCTGAAATCTTGGTGTTTCCGTGGCAACGAGCCCCTGGGTCTAGCTCTCCAGATGCCCTTCTCCACTGGGATGAGCCAAGGCCCTTTGAAATAGATTTCCCTTTCCTGGCGTGGCAGTAGCAATACTGCCTTCCGCCATTTGGTGGCGCCAACGCAACACCAAGGAGGCCTTCGGGGCTGCTGACCGGGTGTGACATCACCCACCAGTGCTCATGCAGGACGCAGGGCGCCAGGCCAGTGGTCGGCAAACTCATCAGTCCACAGAGCCAATTATCAACAACTGGACGACTGAAATTTCTTTGGAGAGCCACAGTGTTTAGACGTAAACTCCTTCGAACGCCACTTCTTCAACACAGACTCGCCCAGGCCGTGGTGTTTTGTGGAAGAGCCACCCTCCAGGGGCCAAAGAGCCACCGCATGTGTCTCGAGAGCCGCAGTTTGCCAACCACTCGGCTAAGGTGATCCCTCTAAGGATTCCTTGTTGTGCTTTTCTACTTATCTTCAAACGCACGTCACAGACTATACGTCAGAGAGCACTTAGGTCTTTTTAAAAAATATATATTTCATTGATATTTTACAGAGAGGAAGGGAGAGGGATAGAGAATTAGAAACATCGATGAGAGAGAAACATCCATCAGCTGCCTCCTGCACAACTCCTACAGGGGATGTGCCGGCAACCAAGGTATAATACATACCCTTGACCGGAATCGAACCTGGGACCTTTCAGTCTGCAGGCCGACGCTCTATCCACTGAGCCACACCGGTTTTGGCTGCACTTAGGTCTTGATGTGTGACTTGCATTATTAAAAACTTTTTTTAGTTAATCCTCACCCGAGGATATTTTCCCATTGAATTTTAGACAGAGTGGAAGGTAGGTGGGGAGAGACAGAGAGAGAGAGAGAAACATCGAGGTGAGAGAGACCCATCCTGGAGGAGACCGAGCCTGCAACGGAGGCCCGTGCCCTCGGGGAGGGAATCGAACCCAGGACCTTTCAATCCTCAGGCCAGTGCTCTATCCACGGAGCCAAACCGGCCAGGGAGTGACTTGCATTTCTGATCAGGGCCTGGGTGGAATCTCCCCCAGACACTCCCTTCTGAGTGAGTCCGGGAGCCCGGGCCTCCCCCACGTCACCCAAGAGAGCAGGGAGGGGCCGCAGACGTCAGCACCGGGCAGGGGCTGGCACAGCCCAGGGAGCAGGCGGCAGGGGAGTGGGGGGGTGGTGGCCCCACTCTGTAAGCCTGAGGCACGGCCTCCCAGCATCTGCAGTGAGAGAGGAGGGAGTGCCCTGCCCTCCTGGCCCACCTGAGCCTGGGCCTCTCCCTTCCTCTGTGGAAAGTCAATATATATATACATATATATATATATATATTAAAGTGGAGTCTTTATTATTCTGGCAGACTAAAACACACACATTCTCTCTCTCTTTCTCTCTCTCTCTCTTTCTCTCTCTCTCTCTCTCTCCCTCTCTCTCTCTCTCTCTCTCTCACACACACACACACACACACTCCGCTGGCCCTGCCCAGGCAGCTCTGGGTGATCCCCGCTGCTTCTGACTCACCCGCCGCCTGGGGTCCGGGCTCACCCGGAAGGTTCCTGGTGACGGGGAGGCCCCGGGAGCGTGTGTCTGGGCCGGGGGTCCCCCTGAGCCGCCTGTGGGGTCAGAGGGCCGGAGGAAGACGAGAGGCCGCCCTGAGAGGGGCTCGGAGAAGCTGGGCGCCTGTTTGTGGGCTGGTGCAGGTGTGAGACCGGGACAGCCCGGGCGGGGGTGACAATCATTGCTCATTGCGGGCAGCTGCGGAGGCTCCGGCCTGCGCCTGTGTGCACCGAGGCCCGGAAAGCTGGTGGACCCGCTGCCGACCCGGCCGCAGGGCAGAGGGGGCTGTGGCTGCGGGCTGCAGGCTGGGGGGAGACTGTCCAGGGTAAATCTGAAGGCTCCGCACCCCAGGCTGCCTGGCGCTTGGGATTTGGTGGTCCCGATAGGGCTGGTCTGCCCAGGGCTTGTTCCTAGAAGCCTGGGGAGGGGAAGCCCGGCCACCTGCCTGGAGGAGGCACATCCCCCCAGGGAGGAGGATCTCCCAGGAGCCGGGCCGGCCTCTGAGCGTTCCCAGCGGCTCTGCCACACTGGACAGGGGACCAGCTTGCCCCCCAGCGCCCAGAGCCCAGGGGAAGGCAGGTGAGCCCGAATGAGGCAAACGAGCAGGGCTGTTCTCTCATGAGTCCTCCATTGCCCCGGAAGGAACCCTCGGAGCTAGGAATGAACGCCTGTGTCCCCGTGACATCGCAGGGTGCAGAGGGAGAGCCTGGTGGGCAGCCGTGGGACCATCCCTCGGGCAGCGTGCCCAGCCTTAGACGAGGATAAAGGATCCAATAAAAACTCAGCAAGCCGAAACCGGCGTGGCTCAGTGGATAGAGCAAGGGTCCCAGGTTCGATTCCGGTCAAGGGCATGTGCCTTGGTTGCGGGCACATCCCCGGTGGGAGGTGTGCAGGAGGCAGCTGATGGATGTTTCTCTCTCATCGATGTTTCTGACTCTCTATCCTTCTCCCTTCCTCTCTGTAAAAAAATCAACAAAATATATTTAAAAAGAAGAAGAAACACACCTTTATGTGAAGCAAAGACTATTAAGCTGAATGTGCAAACGGGCTCACCTGATTTCTCCACTGGACCGAATTCATTTGCATCATCGATAGAAAATTGTTTTGCACGGCTACGGTTACCTACCAGTTAGGGTTGTAAACTAATTCAAAAGCAATGAGAGGCTGGAATCAGACCGTCTCAGCATACTGACATCTGTGGGGAGCCGTCCCGGGCATTATAAGATGTCTAGCAGCCCCCCCCCCCTGGCTTCTCCCCACTCCAGCGAGGCCAGGAGCATTCCCCAGGCATGACAATAAAAACCCCTCTAAACATTGCGAAGGCTACATTTGCCTCCAGCTAAAAACCACTGACCTAAACAAGGCATAGTTTTCCGAGGAAACACAAATTCTTCCATATTAGTTAGTGCAGGGAAGGAGGAGGAGGATACACTGTTTGGCACGCGCCCATTTCTCTCGTGTACACGCTGGGAATCTCGCGGTATTGAAAGGGTCCCAGGTTTGATTCTGATCAAGGGCACATGCCCAAGTTGCAGGCTGGACCCCCAGGAGGCAGCCGATCCATGATTCCCTCTCATCGCTGATGTTTCTGAGTCTCTCTTCCTCTCCCTTCCTCCCTGAAGTCAATAAGAATATCCTGCCGAGCCGAAAGGGTTTGGCTCAGTGGATAGAGCATCGGCCTGTGGACTGAAGGGTCCCAGGTTCGATTCCGGCCAAGGGCATATGCCTTGGTGCGGGCACATCCCTAGTGTGGGCGTGTGCAGGAGGCAGCTGATCGATGTTTCTCTCCCATGGAGGTTTCTAACTCTCTATCCCTCTCCCTCCCTTTCTGTAAAAAAAAAATAAAGTCAATAAATATATATTTAAAAAAAAAAAAAAAAGAATATATTGCCAAAACCGGTTTGGCTCAGTGGATAGAGCATCGGCTTGCGGACTGAAGGGTCCCAGGTTCGATTCTGGTCAAAGGGCATGTACCTTGGCTGCGGGCACATACCCAGTGGGGGGTGTGCAGGAGGCAGCTGATGGATGTTTCTCTCTCATCGCTGTTTCTAACTCTGTCCCTCTTCCTCTCTGTAAAAAAATCAAATATATATATATATTTAAGTTCCCTTTTTAAAAGTTTAGAAAAATAAAAAGAATATATTAAAAAGTTGGGGCCCAACAGATGGCGGCCAGGGCCTCCTTCCCCGATGCACTGACTCATAGGGGTGCTTCCTGCGGAGTCACCCCTTCCCGGGCGGGCCTGGGTGTGGTCCCCACCCGAGCCCGGACCCTTTCCGCCCGGAGCCCCGCGGTCCAGCAGCTGCGCTTCCCCGGGCGTCCGCTGGGGGCAGCACCGGCCCCGCAGGCCCCGAGCAGCCCCCGGCGGCCAGGCCACACCCCGCGGGCGCAGCGGGCGCAGCGGGCGGAGCGCCTCCCGGTGAATCATCGCCGCCGGCAGCCGCAGTCCCGCTGCCCCAGTCCCGGCCCGGCCGCGCCCCAGCCGCACGCACCCCCGATCGGGACACCCGCCGGGACACCCCGCGACCGGGACACCCCCGGGACACCCACCGGGACACCCAGCGACCGGGACACCCACCGGGACCCCCGATCGCCCCTCCGATCGCGCCCGGCGGACCCCATGGCGGGCGTGGCGGCCAGGCTGGCCCGGGACCGGGAGGCGGCCGCGGGGCTGGGCTCGCACGAGCGGGCCGTCAAGTTCCTGAACCAGGACTACGAGGCGCTGCGGGCCGAGTGCCTGGAGGCCGGGCAGCTGTTCCAGGACCCGTCCTTCCCCGCCTGCCCCGGCGCGCTGGGCTTCCAGGAGCTGGGCCCGCGCTCCGCCAAGACGCAGGGCATCGTGTGGAAGCGGCCCCCGGTAGGCAGGCGCCGGGCGGGGCGGGGCGGGGCGGGGGTCCGGGGGGTGGGATCGGGGGTTGGAGGGGGCCCCAGGGCCCGGCTGGGACGCAGAGCGAGCCCCGGAGCCACGACCTGATCCATCTGATCCATCTGATCGATCTGATCGCGCGCATCCCAGGGCCCGCGGGCCCGGCTCCCCCGGCCCGTTATTTGGTGCAGGCGCCGGACACCACCCCCCCGGCGGCCCCCTCACTTCCCCCGCCTGGCCGGACACCGCTCTCAAAGTCCCACTAGGAGCCCCCAGGGACTCCACAAAAAAACTGGGGTGGCAGAGGGGACCTGGGACAACTTTGATGGGACCCCAAGGGGCAGAGGGTGGGAGGAGGAGTTGGGGCGGAGGGTCCAGAGGAGGAGAGCAGGTGGGAGAGAACTTCTGCCCCCGGGAGAGTCAGTCTGTGGCCGGCCCTGCTGCTGTCCAGGGAGGGGGTGAGCCCCACCTGCCCCCACACCCCACACCCCAATCCTCTGTGACTAAGGGCTGCCTCATGCGGTCCCGGTTGGGTCTAGCCAGTTTCTTGTTTGTTAACCTGCCCTGCTTGCTATTCATGCCGGTGGTGGTAAACAAGGACAGGACAGGCCGCCAAGAGCCGGGATCCTCGGGCCCAGGATCCTCCCCAAAACCTCAGGGTCCCTCTGAGCCTCTCCGAGCCCCTCAGCTTGCTCCCCAGGGTCCCCGTCCTCCGCTCCGGCCGGCCTAGGGGACAGCTCGACCCCTGATCTAGCTTCCATGGCTTCCCCCGCGGACTGACTCCCTGCTGGCTCCAGCCCCAGCTCAGCTTCCTGCAAACCCAACCTCTGCGTTCCCCTTAGGAGACTGAGCCCCACCCACCCCCTCCAGCCCCCTCAGCGTCTCTGTGACCCCAGAGCCCCGCCTGGGGCAGTCAGGGCATAGGAACTGCCCGAGGCCCGGACCTGAGCCCCTGAGCGCCTGAGCGCATTCCTCCGTCACCTGCTCAGTGGCCCCTGGTCTGAGACACAACCTCTTTGCCTCCATTTCTTCATCTAAGACCGTGGTCGGCAAACCACTGCGGCTCACGAGCCACGTGCGGCTCTTTGGCCCCTTGAGTGTGGCTCTTCCACAAAATACCACGGCCTGGGCCAGTCTGTGTTGGAGAAGTGGCTTTTGAAGAAGTTTAAGTTTAAAAAATTTGGCTCTCCAGAGAAATTCCAGTCGTTGATATTGGGCTCTGTGGCTGACAAGTTTGCCGACCACGGGTCTGAGGGAAGCGGCGATGCTGGGCACGGGGGAGATATTGATGCCTGCACGCTTCCTGGGCCCCGTGTCTCCGAGGCCCCGTTCCCTCCCGCCTCCCTGTCTGCCAGGGACCCTCCTCCCCAGTGGTCTGGAGTCCGGCTCCCTCGGATTCTCTGGGATGTTCTCAAACGCCCCTCTCCCCCACAAAGTCATCTCCCCTGACCCCGCTTCACAGCCCCCACCCAGCATCTCATTCTGTATCACAAACCCTGCTCACTTCCTTCCTGGCTCTTTTAACGACGTCGATAAATATAATCGCCTCTATTCGCACTTTCTCTGACCTGCAGGGACCACGCGTTAGAGCCATCCGTGCCGAGCAGGGTCCCTTCCCTCCCACAGAATGAATGCACCCACCCACCCACCCATCCGTTCATTCATTCATTCATTCATTCATTCATTCGTTCACCCTTTCGGCTATATCTACTGAGAACCTGTTCAATGCCAGGCCCTGTCTTAAAGGCTGCAACGCTCTGTGGCTGAGTGCATGCATGCATGAATGAATGAATTGAATGAATGAATGAATGAATGAAGTCGGGGATGTAACCAAGCCTCCAGTGATGTTATGGTTGTGAACATGACACGTGGGAGACTGTATTCGCCGTGCATGGGGACAGCACTGGACAGTCTGCAAAGGGAATGAGCACACCCACTTCCGTATTCTCTCCTTCGTCCGGGAAGCACCATACACCGGGCACAGGGCAGACGCACCGGTGCCTGAAGGATTCGTAACTCTGTATGCCCCCTGCACGCACTGCCTCCTCATGGCGTGTGTAGGGGCTCACGGGGGACAGCGAAGGGATCGTTGCAAACGCCCGTGGGACTCGGAGACGGGGAGACAGATCTGGGGCCGTTGGCAAGACCCAGGGCAGTGTGGCTGGTGAGTCCCCATCCAGAGGCAAAAGGGGAGGAGAGGATGGAGGATGGGAAGGGAGGGATTCCAGCGGGGAGTCTGAGGGGAAGCCACGGAAGCTGGATCAGGGAGCGAGCTGTCCCCTAGGCCGGCTGGAGCAGAGGACGGGGACACCGGGGGAGGAATCTGAGGGGCTCGGAGGGACCCCGAGGTTTTGGGGAGGATTCCGGGCCAGAGGGGATTCCGGTTCTTGGCGGCCTGTCCTGTCCTTGTTTACCGGCGGCATGAATGGGAGGGCAGGTTAACATAAACAAGAGAAACCGGCTACACCCAGCCGGGACCGCAGGAGCGGTGAGCCATGGAAAGGTTAGGTGTCCGGGAGGGGGGGGGGAGCCAGGGCTGTGCCCGGCCTGTGGGTGTTTGCAGCCCGCAGCCCGCAGCGGCCCCCTCTGCCTCTGTCCTGCCGGGGCCAGGGTCAGGCTGGGAAACAGACGGTGTCCACCGGACTGGGGCCTCAGCAATCATTGGTGACTTAGAGCAGTGCGGTGGGACAGACTTCCATCCGGGCAGACTAGGGGGCGCCAGAGTGAGCGCCGGGGACCAAGGAGGGGTCTCCTCCGTTCGAAGTGGGAAGGAGGGTGGGGGCTGGGTTCCAGGGGCTGTTGTTTTTGATGAGCAAACTGGCCTGGGCGATGGGTTGAGTTATCCGAGCTCAGCCTCGAACCTGCATGGCCATCCTCTAAGATCAGTGATTGCCACCAACGTCTTCAGTAATCATAGTCATAATAACCCTACATCATAAAAGGCTACTATGCAAATGACAGAACCGCGGAAAGACCAGTTGCTATGACACGTCCTGACCACCAGGGGGCAGATGCTCGACGCAGGTGCTGTCCCCTGGTGGTCAGCTCCCCACGCCCGCAGCTGGACATCCCCCAAGGGGTCCCGGACCGTGAGAGGGTACAGGCCGGGCTGAGGGACCCCCCCCACACACACACCCCTATGTTGTTCACTGGGCCTCTAGCAATAATCATAATAAACTTTAGAGAGTGTTTACCAGGGCACGTTTACCTAATTACCTCATTTAACCCTCCTAATACCTACGTGGCAGGTACGCCTGTCACCACCGTGCCCATTTGGCAGATGAGGAGACTGAGGCTGAGAGAGGAGAAGTGCCTTGCAGGGTCATAGACTCAAACCCAGGGCGTCCGTCTGAGACCCAAGCCCACGCCCCGGGCCCCTCTCCCCGGACGGTGACGCCCGTGTTTCACCGCACGCCCTCCGTGCCGGGTGCACGGTTTTCAGTCTCATGAAACGTCTCTGAACTCTGCCTCCCCTGAGAGGCCGCCAGCGACGCAGGCACGTTGCAGAGACTTCATGGAAAAATCCTCCTGGCGTCAGAGCCTGGCATTGGCAGGACGATCCATCCGGTGCCCGGGCTCCCGGTCCCTCCGTCCGCCGCCTGAGTGCCCGGCTGGCAGGCCTGGGGCAGAGCTGGCCTCGCCTCCCCACTGTCCCGTCCTCCGCCGGGCAGACGCCCTGAGCAGGGAAGGGACAGTGCGGAGGCCCGAGGGGGACATGCCGCCAGAGAGGGGCTCCCCGAGGGCGCCAGGTGGAGCCCCGAGCAGGTGGCCCCGGGGTGGGCGGGCCGAGAAGCCCAGATCAATGCTGCCCCCCCCCCCCCACCCAGTTCCTCTGTGGCTTTGGGCGCGGCCCTGCAGAATCAGGAAGCACCCAGAGGGCTGCCTGGCCCACGGCGGCTTCTCCCGGGCAACTCGGGGGGCCACCCTGAGGCTTTCACAGCCCTAGGGGTCTGTGGCTAAAAATGCCAGCCCAGCCCTGACCGGGGTGGCTCAGTGGATAGAGCCTCGGCCTGCGGACTGAAAGGTCCCAGGTTCGATTCCGGTCAAGGGCATGTACCTTGGCTGCGGGCACATCCCTGTAGGGGGTGTGCAGGAGGCAGCTGATGGATGATTCTCTCTCGTCGATGTTTCTAGCTCTCTATCCCTCTCCCTTCCTCTCTAAAAACTCAATAATATATATATATATATATATATATATATATATATATATATAAACACTGGGACTTGTTTTTAAAAAATGCTAATCCACCAAAACCGGTTTGGCTCAGTGGATAGAGCGTCGGCCTGCAGACTGAAGGGTCCCAGGTTCGATTCCGGTCAAGGGCATGGACCTCAGTTGCGGGCAGGTCCCCAGTGGGGGGGGGGTGTATGCAGGAGGCAGCTGGTCGATGTTTCTCTCTCATCGATGTTTCTAGCTCTCTATCAGCCTCTCCCTTCCTCTCGGTGAAAAAATCAATAAAATATATATATTTTTAAATGTTAATCCATTAGCAGCAGCAGGGGAGCCGGGAGTAAGGTCACCTCCAGGCCGTGCTGCCTGTGACGGGTGAGCAGTGTCACCTCAGAGTCTAGACAAGGTCACCTTAGACACGCTGCCTACCTCCCCCCTGTGTCCTCCCCGGGGGGGACAGCACCCCGCACGCTTGGGGCTGGCACACAGCCGGTTTGTAATACGGGGCTGCTCCCAGCACCACGGCCCACGGACGGATCCAGAAAGCCAGACACATTCCCGCGGGGCCCCCCGGCCTGCAGAGGAGGGTGCTGGGGGCCCTCGGCAGTTTGGAGGGCTGGGCAGTGGCTCCCCTTCCCAGCCCAGGTGTCTCCCACTACCCACCAGGGTCAGGAGAGGACCCCGTGACAGTCCGGCTGCAGCCACGGGGTGGAGGGATGAGGGGGGATGGGGTGCAATGCGCCCCCTGGGAACCGAGGGTCCGGTGGGCTGACGGCACTTTGTGGGTCTCGCCCCCAGGAGATCTGCGATGACCCCCAGTTTATTGTCGGCGGAGCCACGCGCACAGACATCTGCCAAGGAGCCCTGGGTAAGTGGCGGCCCCAGAGCGGCCTCGGGGTCTCGTCTGCACGTCGGGGGGTGGGGAAGGCTGGTCTTGGGCTTCTCTCCCTTCCCAAGCAGCTGGTCCACTCCCATTTCCAGAAGCTTCCCGGATTTCGTGCCCCGTGAGGGCCTCGTGTTCAGGTCCCCTGTGTCCCCTGCACCGGGCTGGGTGTGGAGGTCACACAGGATGATGGGGGGGGCTTCTTGTCCTCCCCCCTCCCCCGAGGTCTCTGCACCCCCAAACCTGTGGTCTCTGCACCCCCTGGGGCCAGTCCTACCCTTGGCCCATGGAACAGTCAGGCTCTGAGCCCTCAGCGTCTCGGGGTGCAGGGACAGGGACGGTGGTTGGGGTGCAGGGACAGGGACGGGGACTGGGGTGCAGGGACAGGGACGGGGCTGGGGTGCAGGGACAGGGACGGGGCTGGGGTGCAGGGACAGGGACGGGGCTGGGGTGCAGGGACAGGGACTCGGGGTGCAGGGACAGGGACGGGGGCTGGGGTGCAGGGACAGGGACGGGGGCTGGGGTGCAGGGACAGGAACGGGGGCTGGGGTGCAGGAAGGGGAAACCCTAGTGACTGCTCCCCGCGGGAGGAAGTGCAAGTAGTCAGGTCCTCGGTGTTTGCAAGATGAGTCAGTCGCCCTGGCATCACAACAGAGCAATGCAGCGCCGGCCGCAGCCAGGGAGCCGGACGCTCCTCCCGGTGGGACTCCCGGGTCCGAGGCCGCACCCCGAGGCGCAACTCGGACTGCTGGCTGGGTGCAGAGCCCGCTGGGGTGGGGCCGGAGGTCTGTGCCCCTGTAGGGAGCTCCCGGGGACCAGTCTATAAGACCCTCATCGACTCCGCCCTCCATTGTTCTGACTCATCATAGACCAGGCCCCTGGTCGCTGGAGCATCCATCCTGTTTACTCTGATAAACAGAAACCTTGCTTCCTCGCCGAAACCGCTGTGGCTCAGTGGATAGAGCGTCGGCCTGCGGACTGAAAGGTCCCAGGTTCGATTCCGGTCAAGGGCATGTGCCTTGGTTGTGGGCACATCTCCAGTGGGGGGCATGCAGGAGGCAGCTGATCGATGTCTCTTTCTCATCGATGTTTCTAATTCTCTACCCCTCTCCCTTCCTCTCTGTAAAAAAATAAAAATTTAAAAGATTCTCATAGACTAAGGTGACCAGACGTCCAGGTTTTGGCGGGACGTCTGGTCACCTTATCCTAGACTCCGCCCTCCATTGTTCTGACTCGTCCTAACCCCGGGCCCCTGGTCGCGGGGCATCCGTCCTGTTTACTCTGATAAACAGAAACCTGGCTTCCTGCCACCGCCTCCCGCTGGCTGCCCACAGGGGGCCAGGGGTGGGGAACCTTTTCTCTGCCCTGTCAGGCCACACAGCACAATCAGCTCACACAGGAGCCCGCTGTGTTCGGCCAGACGTTCCATTAACTCGCCCCGGATGCCTTGCCAGGGCCGGACCGAAGGATTCCATGGGCCCTGCATGGCCCTCAGGCCAGAGGTTCCCCGCCCCTGCGCTGCTACGAGTCCGTCAGTAACAACCCTGGTCATCTCGGATGGCACCTCCTTTCGGCGCCCGCCGAGAGGCTCTGATACTCAGAGGAATAAGAGCTGATGTTTGCTGAGGGCCTACTGTGTGCCAGACACCACGCTGTGGGGACAGAGCGCTAAGGTGGTGGCCTGATTACAGCTGACCCTCGCACAACACCAGTTTAAACATACACACAGATACTGTTTTCCATGAATAGGCCCAGGACTATACACGTATATTCTCTTCCTTCTGATTTTTTTTTTAGTAACATCTTATTTTCTCCAGCTTACTGGATGGTAAGAATCCAGTACATAAGGCACATCACCGACAAAATAGGAGTTCCTAGAACTGTGTTACTGTGTTGTGTTATCAGTAAACTATCAAATAGCTACGTTTTGGGGGAAGGAGTCAAAGTTATTTATACACAGATTTGCAACGGCGCAGGGGCCAGTGTCCCTAACCCCCGCCGAGCTGTTGGAGGGTTAGCTGTGTGCCCATTTCACAGGTGAGAACACTGAGGCCCCAGGAGTCACTCGCTTAGGGTCCTGGCACCGCCGAGGCGGCCGCCGAGGATGCAATGCAGACGGCCTGACGCCGGGCCGGTGTGTTTAACCCGGAGTGAGATTCCACGGAGGAGCCTGGGAGAGGGAGGGCAGCTGTGAATCACGGGGGTGGGCACACCCTGGGGGGGAGGGGGGGACAGCGGAGGAATGCTTTCATGGAGACCCGTGACCAGGGCGGAGGGCTGGGCCGGTGGAGCTCAGCTGTGGGAGCTCAGCCTCTCAGATTCCTGAGATGCCAGACACATTCCCAGCTGAGATAACACACACACCTCCACTCTCGCTCCCACCCACAGGAGATGGAAGCTCGGGGGCCTGGGCATCTGGGGGTGTGGGGGGGAGAGAGACAAACAAATATACGAGGAGGCAAATGGGAAGGGAGCAGAGGCACACGCTTCGGTGTTAAGCACTGGATTTGGAAAGGGTTAAAGCACTGGTCCTCAACCTTTTTAATGCCGAGACCCTTTAATAACTGTCATTCTGCTACTGTTGTGAATCGTAATGTGAATGTCTGTGTGTTCCAATGGTCTCAGGCGACCCTGCTAGTGGTTCTCAACCTGATAGGAGCCGCTGTAGAGCCTAAGACCATCGGAAAACACAGATATTTACATGGCAATGCATTAACAGTAGCAACACGACAGCCTTGAAATAGCAACGAAAATAATCTTATGGTCGGGGTCACCACCACAGGAGGAGCTGTATGAAAGGGCCGCGAGAGAACCGCTGGCTTAAAAGTCATTTTTAAAAAATATATATTTTATTGATTTTTTTTACAGAGAGGAAGGGAGAGGGACAGAGAGCTAGAAACATCGATGAGAGAGAAACATCGATCAGCTGCCTCCTGCACACCCCCCACTGGGGATGTGCCCGCAACCAAGGTACATGCCCTTGACCGGAATCGAACCTTGGACCCTCCCGTCCGCAGGCCGATGCTCTATCCGCTGAGCCACACCGGTTTCGGCTAAAGTCGTTTTTAAATGATTTTGAATGATCATTTTTTTTAAAAAATCCTTTCCTAATAGGTATCTTGTTAAAATCTGCAGACTATTGATGCATCATTCATGGGTTGATTTCTTGTATGTGCCCTGGCCAGGGATCCACCCTCCCCGCCCCCCAACCTTGGTGTTAGCGGGAAGACACACTCACCTACTGTTAGAGAACAGTTTTTTTTTTGTGTTTTTTTTTTTAATATATTTTACTGATTTTGTACAGAGAGGAAGGGAGAGAGATAGAGTCAGAAACATCGATGAGAGAGTGAGTCATCGATCAGCTGCCTCTTGCACACCCCCTACCGGGGATGTGCCCGCAACCAAGGTCCATGCCCTTCACCGGAATCGAACCTGGGACCTTTCAGTCCCCAAGCCGACGCTCTATCCACTGAGCCAAACCGGTCCTGGCTGTTAGAGAACAGTTTTAAAGGCACAGAAAAGGGGAGCCCGTCATATGGGGGACTCCAGCCGCCCCACCCCGTGCCCCCTCTTACCCTCTCGCATCAGCGCGGTGCGTTCCTGACTTACGTTAACGGGCCGAGGGGGCTACGCGACCGTTAGCTGAAGTGCATGATGGGAGGGTGCACGTGCCAGGGCGGCACAGACGTCCTTGGTTTCGCCCCATGTCCTGTCTCCGTCCTGCGGTCCCGTCCACCTGCTGCTCCTGCCGCCTCAGGCTCCTCCGGGCCGGGGCCGAGTCTGGACTCTGGTCTTTGGTGACCTGGACACTTCGGAGGAGGACTGGCCAGGGATTTCTGCAGGATGCCCCTCCCATGGAGTTGCAGGGCTCTTTAAAAGAAAATAGTGCGTGCAGTTTTGTTTTTGTTTTGCTTTTTTTTTAAAAAAAAAAAAAAAAAAAAGGATCAGGCTGGCCGGTGTGGCTCAGTGGTTGAGCATCGACCTGTGAACCAGGAGGTCACGGTTCAATTCCCGGACAGGCCATATGCCTGGGGTTGTGGGCTCGATCCTCAGTAGGGGCTGTGCAGGAGGCAGCCGATCAGAGATTCTCTCTCATCATTGCTGTTTCTGTCTTTCTCTGCCTCTCCCTTCCTCTCTGAAATCAATAAGGATATATTTTTTTAAAAGGACTAGAAATGTGTTGGCTGGTGTGATGGAGACAGTAAATGCATTCTTCTCTCTTAAAAGCAGTTTCCGCCCCGCCCATCCACCCCTCACCCAGCCCCCCCTCCCTCCGGGGCCTCCCCCAGCGGCCCCTCCCAGCTGGAGCAGATGCCGCCTCCATGAGTCACCACTTCCTCTGGCTTCTCTCTCGGGCTGTAAGAGTTCCCTCTCAGATTCCCTCCCTGTGGCTGCTGCCCTGCCCGCCTTCCTGCTGCATCTATTATAGACAGTCTCCTAACCCAGCGGTCGGCAAACTCATGAGTCCGCAGAGCCAGATAGCAACAGCACAACGACGGACATGTCTTTGGAGAGCCGGCTTTTTTAAACGTAAACTTCTCCGAACGCCACTTCTTCAACATAGACTCGCCCAGGCCGTGGCGTTTTGTGGAAGAGCCACCTTCAAGGGGCCAAAGAGCCGCCTGTGGCTCGCGAGCCGCGCTTTGCTGACCACTGCTTAGGACCTAAACAGGGCAGGGGTGAATCTCGAACCCTAACGACGCCAGGCCAGGGACACCCTCGCCTCCTGTGGGGTCTGTGAGGCCCGGACCGGGGGAGGGGGAGGGCGGGCGTGGGTTGGACTGCCTGGCAGGCAGGTGCCGTCCGCTGGAGTCCCTGCAGCTTAAAGCTCTGACCTCAGCCAAAACCGGTGTGGCTCAGTGGATAGAGCGTTGGCCGGCGGACTGAAAGGTCCCGGGTTTGATTCCGGTCAAGGGCATGGACCTTGGTTGAGGGCACATCCCCAGTAAGGGGTGTGCAGGAGGCAACTAACTGATCTATGATTCTCTCTCATCGATGTTTCTAACGCTCTAGCCCTCTCCCTTCCTCTCTGTAAAAAAATCAATAAAAATATATTTTTTAAAAAAAGAAAGAAAGAAAGAAAGAAAGAAAGAAAGAAAGAAAGAAAGAAAGAAAGAAAGAAAGAAAGAAAAAGAAATCAAAGGAAGGAAGGAAGGAAGGAAGAAGGAAAGAAAGAAAGAAAGAAAGAAAGAAAGAAAGAAAGAAAGAAAGAAAGAAAGAAAGAAAGAAAGGAGGGAGGGAGGGAGGGAGGGAGGGAGGGAGGGAGGGAGGGAGGGAGGGAGGGAGGGAGGGAGGGAGGAAAGAAAGAAAGAAAGAAAGCTCTGAGCTCAGGCAGTGGCTCTGGGGACCTCGGCCCATGGCTGCAGCTGCCCCCCCCCTCGCCCAGGGCTCGGCTGCAGACGGGCAGGCAGCTGCCTGGGGGCGCCCCCAGCTGACAGTCCCCCAAGTTGCCCCCCCACCCCCTCCCGCCTTCCCTCTCTGGCCTTGGGGGCCGGCAGGGAAAGGGGGCCAGGGGTTGGCATCTGTGAGCGGCCACCATGCCACTGGGATGGGATGTGAGGGGGCACCCCTCCCTCCTCAGCCGCTGGTGAAAATGTGTCATGATGGGGGGGGGGGTTCCGGCTCGGGGTCCCCGCTCCTGGGCCGCTGCCAGGCGTGACTCAGCCACTGAAGGGACGGCCCCCGTGACTCACCAGCCGCGTCCGTCACACAGGCCTGGGCTCCGATGGGGCGGGCACTTCCTCTGGAGCGTCTAGGGGTGGCCTGGGCTCCGCAGGACTTCTGTCCCCTGCCTCCAGAAGCTGAGGCTCTACCCCCCCCCCCCAGGCCTCCCTCCCTGGGGGTGGGCGGGCCCTGCAGGCAGTGTCAGGTCTGCAGGCGACGGCAGACCCCAGGGTCTCGGGAAGGGCCCCGCTGAGCCAGAAGCAGCACCGCTATCTGGTCCGGTGGCTACGGGTCCAGCTGCCCCATGGCCCGCAAGGAACAAGGCCCTAAGGCTGTGGTCGGCAAACGGCTCTCGGGCCCCTGGAGGGCGGCTCTTCCACAAAAGACCACAGCCTGGGCGAGTCTGTGTTGAAGGAGTGGCGTTAGAAGACGTTTATGTTTTAAAAAAAACGTGGCTCTCCGCCCAAACCGGTGTGGCTCTGTGGATAGAGCGTCGGGTCTGCGGACGGAAAGGTCCCGGTTCGATTCCGGTCAAGGGCATGTATGTTGGTTGCGGGCACAACCCCAGTAGGGGGTGTGCAGGAGGCAGCTGGTCGGTGTTTCTCTCTCATCGACATGTCTAGCTCTCTGTCTCTCTCCCTACCTCTCTGTAAAAAAAATCAATAAAATATATTAAACAATGTGGCTCTCCAGAGAGATGTCCATCGTCGCGCTGTGGATACTTGGCTCTGCGGACGGATGGAGGGAGGCTTGGATTTGGAGGGGCCGTCCCTCGGCCACAGGAGCACAGTGGCCTCAGTGGTCTCTGCAGGTGGCCAGGGGCGGGCCAGAGCGGTCCCCTCCCTGGCTGTTGGACAAATGACAAGTTAATGCATAAACACTCTCTGCCTTGGGCCCCAACAAGGCAGATTCTGCGCAAAAGCCCCAGGCCCAGGCAGCAGGAGAGACTGGGGATTGGCCGGCCCCCGAGGCCCCCCTGCCTGGCCTTAGGGAGGGGCACAGCCCAGGAGGAGACCTCAGAGCCAGCCTCACCCCAGGGGGGCGGCTCTCAGGCTCCCTGGCCAGGCCCTGGGGGGAGGGAAGTGAAGGGGGGGGGGGCTGTCCGCAGTCCCCAATGAGATTCCCTCAGGCCTGGGGCTGGGAGAGGGTTGTACCCCGAGCTGAGATCCGTTCCTTTGTGTGGACAACTCATCCGTTGTCATCCTCTGTGTTGACTCATTATGGACCCGCCTCTTCCCTTCTCAATGGTGAGACAGGCGCCTTGGGCCTCAGCAGGCCACAGCCCTTCTGTGGCTCCTCCCCCTCCCCCCCATTCCCACCCCACCCACCACACCCCTCCTCAGGCATCACAAGCACACACTCTCGGGACCCGGCTGCCAAAAGTGGCCCGTGTGGCACCTCCTGGGGTCTCGGTTTTCTCCCCAATGAGATGAGAGAGAAAGGGAGCCATGCCTGGAGACACCCAGAAATGCTCGCCGTGTTTTCCCGCAGCTCAGTGCCCGCTGAGAGGCTCCTGGACGCGGGAGAGCCAGGCCCGTGGCCCCAGGGGGAGCCAGGGGGTGCAGGCAGGGTGACCCCACGGGGCTGGCTGGAGAGACACACCAGGCAAAGGGGACTGAAAAGGCCAAAACCGGTTTGGCTCAGTGGATAGAGCGTCGGCCTGCAGACTGGAAGGTCCCAGGTTCGATTCCGGTCAAGGGCATATCCCTTGGTTGCGGGCACATCCCCAGCAGGGGATGTGCAGGAGGCAGCTGATGGATGTTTCTCTCTCATCGATGTTTCTAACTCTCTATTCCTCTCCCTTCCTCTCTGTAAAAAAAAAAAAAAAAAAAAAAAAAATCAATAAAATATATTTAAAATAAATAAATAAATAAATAAAATATTTAAGGTAGATGATGTTAAGTGTGTAGATAAATATGATCCCAGTTAGAATTTAGCCCTGGGACACAATGAGCTATAACTTGATTTTTTTCTTTTTCCTCCCCCGAAGTGCCTACTCAGCTGTCCCAGTTCTGGATGTGAATTATCTATCTTTCCTCATTCCTGCGTGGGGAGCTGTTTGTGGGCCTCCAGTCTGGGCGCTCACCTGTGTCCTGTTTTAATCCCTCCCGCTTTGCATGTTCTGAGTATCTGACAGGCAGACGCCCTTGTCTTTGAGAATTTTTCTGGCTTTGCTTCATGTTTCGTTTTCTCCTATTTATAAACGTTAGGATCAACTGAGTTCCAAATTTAAAAAAAAAAAATCCTCTTGCCGTTTTTATTGGGATTGCATTACATTTAGAGACTGACTTAAGAGGAAGTGGCATTTTTACGATGTTGACTCTAGCCGAGGGCCTGGGGCCACTTTTTTCTTTTTTAAGATATATTTTACTGATTTTTTACAGAGAGGAAGGGAGAGGAATAGAGAGCTAGAAACATTGATGAGAGAGAAACATCCATCAGCTGCCTCCTGCACAGCCCCCATTGGGGATGTGCCCGCAACCAAGGTCCATGCCCTTGACCGGAATCGAACCTGGGACCCTTCAGTCCACAGGCCGACGCTCTATCCACTGAGCCACACCGGCCAGGGCTGGGCCATTTTTTAAGAGGGTAAATGATTGCCAGAAGAGGTACAGCCTTTGACCACTTCCCACCCCTCACGCCTCTTCCTCTTGCCCAAACTCACCTTTGGCCCCGGTGTTCCCGGATGCCCCTGCCCCCCGCACCCCATGGTTCCTCAGCCCGGGCCCAGCCAGGCGAGGACACCGCCTTCAGCCACACGCTTCTGGGTCTCAGAACGGAATTCTCCCGCCACCACCAGTCACTGCCCCCACAGAACGCTGTCCTCGGCCTCGCCTCCGGCCCCCCGGCCCCCCCTGACAGCCACACTGGGCCGGGCGTCCGGTGCAGAGGCGGGACCGATGCCCGCCATCCCCGCCCGCCCGCAGCCCCTCTGAGCGAGCGCCCGCGCTGTGCCCGCAGGTGACTGCTGGCTGCTGGCAGCCATCGCCTCCCTCACCTTGAACGAGGAAGTCCTGGCTCGGGTCGTCCCCTTAGACCAGAGCTTCCAGGAGAACTACGCCGGGATCTTCCACTTCCAGGTAACGAGCTTAGGCAACTAACTCAGCGGCTGGTCCTAGCTTCTCCCCATCCCGCCTGGGGTGGGAGCAGGGCCTGGGGGCTGGGAGCTGGGGGGAGGGCCTGGGGGCAGGGCTTGGGTGGGAGCAGGGCCTGGGGGCTGGGGCAGGGCCTGGGGGCTGAGGGCAGGGCCTGGGGGCAGAGCCTTGAGGTGGGGGCAGGGGCTGGGTGCAGGGCCTGGGGGCTGGGGCAGGGCCTGGGGGCTGAGGCCAGTGGCTGGGAATTGGGAGCTGGGGGTTGGGGGCAGGGCCTAGGGGTGGGAGCAGGGCCTGGGGGCTGGGGGCAGGGTCTGGAGGCATTATGGCCTCAGAGCTCTGTCCTGGGGGTGGGAGCAGGGCCTGTGTGGGGGTAGGGTCTGGGTGGGAGGAGGGCCTGGGGGCTGGAGGCAGGCATGGGGGCTGAGGGCAGGGCCTGGGGCTGGGGGACAGGGTCTGGGGGCTGAGGGCAGGGGCTGGGGCTGGGAGCAGTTCCCCCAGTGCAGCCCAGAGCTGGGTCCCCAGTGCTCGCATACACCTGTGGGCAGTGCTGTTTGCAGCGGACAGAGAAACAGCAGGAAGCTCCTGCCCGCTCCTGCCTGTGAGGGTGGCCGTGGGGCCTGGCTCAGGCCAGGAGGGAGGTAGACAGCTGCTCAGGGAGCCGTTTGGGGGTTAAAGAGGCTGTTGTTTGCGGCCTGAGCCCCGGCGTTGAGGAGCTGCTCTCTGCCCTTTCCCGCCGGCCGGTCTGTGGGAGATGTCTGTAAAAGCCCCGGGCAGGGCGGAGTGCTGGCGCTGGGTGTGGTGCCCGCAGGAAGAGGTTTGGAAGGAAAGCTGTGCCAGGGTTTGTAGGGGGAAGGCGGGGGGCGGGGGTGCAGATACAGCTGAGGCTGGGGTCCACGTGCCGCCCCGGCTGCTCCAGCACACCCCCCCCCGTGCCCAGTTCTGGCAGTACGGCGAGTGGGTGGACGTGGTGGTGGACGACAGGCTGCCCACCAAGAACGGGGAGCTGCTGTTCGTGCACTCGGCGGAGGGCAGCGAGTTCTGGAGCGCGCTGCTGGAGAAGGCCTACGCCAAGTGAGTGCCCGCGGGCCCGTCCTCCTCCCCCCTCCCCCGGCGCTGCCCTGGATCCGGAGAACAGCAGGAACCATTCCCAGGCCGCGGTGAGAACAGGCCTGTTCTCTTGAAGGACTTCTCGGGCCCAAACCGGGCTCTGAGGCCATAATGTATGCGAGGCCCGGCCTCCTTACGCAACTGCCCGGTGACCCCGAGGCCAGGGTCACGGCGGGCGCAGGAGCAGAGCATGGCGCCCCGTGTGCCGGCCTCGGGAGGGCCTGCGATGCCCTGGCACGCCACGGTGCATTTTTAAAATATCTATACATATTTTTATTGATGTTTTACAGAGAGGAAGGGAGAGGGACAGAGAGTTAGAAACATCCATGATGAGAGAGAAACATCGACCAGCTGCCTCCTGCACACCCCCGACGGGGGATGTGCCCGCAACCCAGGTACATGCCTTTGGCCGGGGTCGAACCCGGGACCCTTCAGTCTGTAGGCCGACGCTCTACCCACTGAGCCACACCGGTTTCGGGGACAATGCATTTTTTTTTAAATATTTTTTTTATTGATTTCAGAGGGAAAGGAAGAGGGAGAGAGAAACATCCATGATGAGAGAAAATCATGGATCGGCTGCCTCCTGCACACCCCCTACTAGGGATGTGCCTGCAACCCAGGCTTGTGCCCTTGACCGGAATCGAACCCCGGACCTTTCAGTCCGCAGGCCGGCGCTCTATCCACGGAGCCACACCGGCCAGGGCGCCTCAGTGCGTTGTTGTCAGCTGAACACAGCACAGCGTTCTTGCCCGTGGGCCACGCCACCCCTTGCAGGGGTCTGAGAGGTGGGGAGGTTTGCCGGGAACCCACGGCGTCTCTGATCGGGAATGGTTTCCCGGCTCTTCCCAGCTGTGTCCTCACCCACGGGGCCCGGAGCCCAGGCGTCCAAGGGGCAACACTCACTGCCCATTGCCAATGGGACGGCCCCCACCGCCCCCCACACATCAGCCCCTACCCCCCAGAATGGCCTTGTCCTGGCCGTGCGGCCTGGGTGCGGTCCATTAGAACGGCCGGCGGCTCTCAGGAGCCGGGGACTCTGTTCTTATTGCCCCCGCCAGGGAGGAAGGGGGGACCCACATACCCCACCCCCCGCGGCGAGAAGCTGGCCCTGAGCCACTCAAACTGCAGACTTAGCAAAGCTCCCTGTGCTGGGGAAGGCCCTTCCTTATTGAATTGCTGTCGTTTTTCCAAGTTACAAACGCCAAACAGCCGCCCCCTCCTGGCACAAGCAGGAAGGATCCATAGGGGAGGAGGGACTAGGTAATCACCGAGGCCTTCCAACTCTCAGCTGCTGTGAGGTTTAAAAAAAACAACAACAGCCGGGACCAGTTTGGCTCAATGGATAGAGCGTCGGCCTGCAGACTGAAAGGGCCTAGGTTCGATTCCGGTCAAGGGCATGTGCCTTGGTTGCGGGCACATCCTCAGTGCGGGGGTGTGCAGGAGGCAGCTGGTCGATGTTTCTCTCTCATCGATGTTTCTAACTCTCTCTCCCTCTCCCTTCCTCTCTGTGAAAAATCAATAAAAAATATATTTTAAAAAACAAAAAAAAAACGACAACAAAAACCTTTTCAAAGCACCAGGGACACGGTCGCCGTGGAGACGGCACCTCACCCTCTGGGGCACCCTGAGGTGGGGACAAGACCAGGGTCCCTGGAGCGTCCAAGGAAGGCCCCCCAGGGGTTGCTAGGCAACAGGCAGGCTGCACCCAGAAGGGGGGGGCACCGGGAGGCGTGGCGTCAGGTGGTGGCACCAGCACCCCCTCCCCCCCCCGCAGGATCAATGGCTGCTACGAGGCGCTGTCGGGGGGCGCCACCACCGAGGGCTTTGAGGACTTCACGGGGGGCATCGCCGAGTGGTACGAGCTGAGGAAGGCCCCGGCCGACCTGTTCCGCATCATCCAGAAGGCCCTGCAAAAGGGCTCCCTGCTGGGCTGCTCCATCGACGTGAGTGCCCCCCGGCCCTCGCTCCCCCACAGCCCACCCCCCACTCTGGTCTGCCCTGGCTGCAGTGAGCCCCCAGCAGGGCCCCAGGGGCCCCGCTGCCCCAATGTGCCGCTCCAGCCCAGCCCGGTCCACCTCAGCGAGCATCACCTGGGATCCAGGGGTTGCTAGGCAACAGCCAGGCTGTCTCGGGGACAAGTGAAGAGGTGATGGTGCCTCCAGATGGTACTTCCCTCTCCAGCCCGCTTTGCACCCTCAGCCTCCTGGGAACCGCCACCCAGACCACAGTCCCCTCTGAGCCCCTGCCCTCTGCAGGACCCTTCCTCCCCCCTGCTACCTCCACCCCCATCTGCAGAGCCCGTGCCTGCAGCCCAGCAGGCTTCCCCCTCACTGCCCCGGGGTTCATGCTGAGGGCGCGAACCCCAAGGCGAGGAAGGAGGCCTGTCCTCCTACCAGCCTGGCCGCACCCCTCTCCATGGCGTGTGCTACCCCCGCCCTCCCGAGCCTGCAGAAACCTGGGCACGCACCATGCACGCGTCCGAGCAGGCGCCCGCTCCCCCGGGGGCTGTGGCACCTGAGAGAGGAGGCGGAGGGAGGCTCCAGGTGCTGGAAGCACAGCTTTGGGCCAGCCCCGAGGCCACGGCCAGCAGTGGGCCCGCACTGAGGCCCAGTGAGCGATGGGAGAGGGATGGGCAGGCAGGGGGGCGCCCCCGGCTGACCCCCCCTCTGCATTGGCAGATCACCAGCATGGCGGACTCGGAGGCCGTCACGTACCAGAAGCTGGTGAAGGGGCACGCGTACTCGGTCACCGGCGCCGAGGAGGTAAGCCCGCGGGCTCTGCAGGGGGTTCTCTCTGAGCCCAGAGGCCAGGCACCCTTTTGGCGGTGACTGCCCGGGGCAGGGGGCGGGGGGGGGAGGGCGAGTTCCCACCGTTGTTTTCCCCCAAATAGGCCTTGCATTCCTGCATCCAGACAGGACTCGCTGGGCGTCCTGGCCGGTTTCTTCCAGAACCTTGGTCCCCTGGTGCTGCCCCTTGCTGCCCTCTGCTGCCCCCTCCTGCCCTCTGCTGCCCCTTGCTGCCCTCTGCTACCCCCTCCTGCCCTCTGCTGCCCCCTCCTGCCCTCTGCTACTCCTTCCTGCCCTCTGCTGCCCTTTGCTACCCCCTGATGCCCTCTGCACCCTTTGCTGTCCCCTTGTCCTCTGCTGCCCCCTGCAGGCCGCAGGCTCGGAGCCCGGCGCTGGGATTTTACTTGGTTTTAGAATCACCTTCCTCTGAGGGTCCCGCTAACGAGAAAGGGCACTTCCCTCTGTTCAGCGTTTTGCCCTCTCCCAAGGGCTTTCCTTCCCTCTGTGTGCGACCCTGGCGCTGCCTCTGCCAGCTGTGTGGTCCGAGCGGCTCCCTGAACCCCTGCCCCTTCGTCTCCCCATCTTGAGATCAGAGAATGAGCACGGCTGTCCTTGCTGCTGCCGTTGTCGTCATCATCATCAATTATTATTATTACTATTAAACATCCTTCCACTGGTAAACCCAGACTAGGCCCCAGGCCTGTCCCGTAGGCGGGGCCTTTCTGTGGACCCCCCTCTCTCGCTCCCTTATTACATGGACTCAGCCCCCTTGGCTCAAGGAGGCGGCTTTGGGCCCGGAACCCCCAAGCCTGGCCTGAACACGACCCCCTCCCCCCTGCAGGTGGAGAGCCGGGGCAGCCTGGAGAAGCTCGTCCGCATCCGGAACCCCTGGGGAGAGGTGGAGTGGACCGGGAAGTGGAGCGACAAGTGAGGGCGCAGCTGGGCCTGGAGGGGGGGGGTGCCAGGAGGCTCTGGGGAGAGAGGGGGTGCATGCTGCCGGGGGGCCCTGGGGAGAGAGGGGGTGCATGCTGCCAGGAGGCTCTGGGGAGAGAGGGGGTGCATGCTGCCAGGGGGCTCTGGGGAAAGAGGGATGCAGGTGGGCCTGGAGGCTCTGGGGAAAGGGGGGGTGCAGTGGGACTGGGTGCATGCTGCCAGGAGGCTCTGGGGGAAGAGGGGATGCAGTGGGGCTGGGCAGGTGCATGCTGCCGGAAGGCTCTGGGGAAAGGGGGTGCAGTGGGACTGGAGGCTCTGGGGAAAGGGGGTGCAGTGAGGCTGGGCGGGTGCTGCCGGGAGGCTCTGGGGAAAGGGGGTGCAGTGGGACTGGGCGGGTGCTGCTGGAAGGCTCTGGGAAAAGGGGGTGCAGTGGGACTGGGTGGGTGCTGCCTGGAGGCTCTGGGGAAAGAGGGGGTGCAGTAGGGCTGGGCGGGTGCTGCCGGAAGGCTCTGGGGAAAGAAGGTGCAGTGGGCCTGGGCAGGTGCCGCCCGGAGGCTCTGGGGAAAGGAGGGGAAAGGAGGAGGATGAGCCCCGAGAGCATGGGCCACGCTGAGTGGGGCCCACGGGGCAGGTAGTCCCTCTAAGCTGCTTCTAACCAGCGCGTCCCAGCCCCCGGTGCCTTTTATAAGGTGCTCATGGCGTTCATCCTCCCACGCCCGCCCTCCCGCCTCGGGGGAGCCCTGGGGAGAAGTCACAGGCCGCCCATATCCGCTTCTAACGCGCCCCCGGGCCTGTTCCCAGCTGCCCGAACTGGAACACTGTGGACCCCGAGGTGAGGGAGCGGCTGACCAGGCGGCAGGAGGACGGAGAGTTCTGGTGAGCGGACTGGGGCCTGGGGGGGGGGGGGGTCTGCCCAGCATCTTCACAGAAAACCAGGGAGATGGTCGTGGCGAGGGCCAGGGCCTGGGGTCCCGGTTTGTGGTTTTAAATCCTGACGAGACCCTGAACAGAGCGACGCCCCTCCTCCCACTGATTTCAAAGCTCTCAGAGCTCTCCAGTGTGTCCCTCTCCGCCTCAGAGGGGGGTTCGGAGCTGAGCAGGTTCCGGGGGCGCCGAGCGGCCCCTGCAGTCATGCTCAGATCCCACGAGAACACAGGGCACCTCTCAAATCGCCTCAAGAAACTGGTCCCTTACAAGACCGGTGTGGCTCAGTGGACAGAGCATCAGTCTGTGGACTAAAGGGTCCCAGGTTCGATTCCGGCCAAGGGCTATAGGCCCAGGTTGTGGGCTCGATCCTCCCCAGTAAGGGGCAGGCAGGAGGCAGCCAATCAATGATTCTCTCTCATCACTTACTGATGTTTCAATCTCTCTCCCTTACCCTCTGAAATCAATAATAATATATTTAAAAAAAAAAGAAAAAAAAGAAAAAAAAAAGAAAGAAAGAAAAGAAACTGATCCCTGAACCCTGGCTGGTTTTGTTCAGCTGTTAGAGCATCAGCCACAGATTGAAGTGTTGAGGGTTCGATTCCCGTCAAGGGCACGTACCAGGGTTGCAGGCTTCATCCCTGGCCCCATTCGGGGTGTGTGCGGGAGGCAACCAATGGATGTGTCTCTCTCACATCCATGATTCTCTGTCTCTCGCCCTCCCTTCCACTCTCTGTAAATACCAATGGGAAAAAGTATCTTAGGGTGAGGATTACTAACAAAAAAAGAAAAGAAACTGGCCCGTAGCTCAATAGACCTACACGTGTGTGCACGTGTGTGCACGTGTGCGTGCGTGCGTGTGTGCATGTGTGTGCGTATGTGTGCGCGTGTATGTGTGTGTATATGTGTGCGTGCGTGTATGCGCATGTGTGTGCATGTGTGTGTGTGTGTGTGTGTGTGTGTGTGTGTGTGTCTGGGCCACGCTGGCCACCTCCGCCTTTCACCGGACGCGTGCCCGGGTGCCGTCTCGTTTCCCTCTCGGGGTCCGGGCCCCGGCCAGGGTGCGGGGGTGCCCGCGTGTAACCCCGCCGCCCGGCCCCTCTGCCAGGATGTCCTTCGGCGACTTCCTGCGGCAGTACTCCCGCCTGGAGATCTGCAACCTCACTCCCGACACGCTCACGGCCGACAGCTACAAGAAGTGGAAGCTCACCAAGATGGACGGCAACTGGCGGCGGGGCTCCACCGCGGGGGGCTGCCGGAACTACCCCAGTGAGCCCCCGCCCTGCCCCCGCACCCCGCAGCCCCCCCACCCCCCGCACCCCGCAGCCCGCACTGAGCTCGGGGCCAGGGCCGCAGGGAGGCAGCCGCACGCACATGCCTGGACACGGCTGTGCCCCTCCTTCCCAAGCCCGGCCGCCACTGCCTGCGGAGCCAGGCTCTGCCAAGCCCGCCCTGGGGGGCGCCCTCATTCCCACCGTTAGCTTTATCCCCTTACGGGAGGCCATCAGCTCGGCTGTCCTGAGTCATGGATGAGTCTCGGTCCCTCCTGGAAAGGGGTGTGGAGTGGGGAGGGCAGGCACCTGGGGGTGGGTGGGCAGGGGGACACAGAACGGGGGTGTTCCTGGCGCCTGGGTTCCCCGAGTCTCCTCAGCCAGGCCCACCCGCAGCCTCTAATCGGAGCCGGGAGTGGGGGGACCCCGAGGGGTGCCCCAGCGCTCACCACCCTGGTCCAGGTGAGAAAGCCGAGCTCCAGGACTAGCCAGGCCGGGCAAGCGAGAGGGAACCGCAGGGGAGTTCCTAGCTCAGGTCCCCAGGGACTCAGACAGGCCCCCTCCATCGCCCAGGCCCACCCTGCCGGCTGCCCCCAGTCCCACCTCCGTGCCGGTCCCTCTGCCCAGGCTCTGCCCCCAGAGACGAGGGCAGAACCCCACCCCCGAATGCACCTGCCCGGGCTGGGCTGCGGCCTGCCCTGCCCTGACCCGCCGCCCCCCCCCCCCCCCAGACACCTTCTGGATGAACCCGCAGTACCTCATCAAGCTGGAGGAGGAGGACGAGGACCAGGAGGACGGGGAGCGCGGCTGCACCTTCCTGGTGGGGCTCATCCAGAAACACCGGCGGCAGCGGCGCAAGATGGGCGAGGACATGCACACCATCGGCTTTGGCATCTACGAGGTGCTGGGGGGGGCCTCTCCGCCGGAGCGGGGCCCGGGGGGGGGGGCGGCCCGGGAGGAGCTCGGCCACAGGGAGGGGCGGTCCCTGCAGCTGCTCCGTGTCACCCGAGGGCCCGAGCCCTTCCAGACGCCCTCCTGTCCCTCCGCTCGTCCCCCGGGCCTGCCACTGGGGCTCCCCACCAGTTTCTAAAACCAGAGGCGCCAGGCTGATGACAGCGTCCTGGGCCGCATGGGGAAACGCAGAGGGAGGACCCCAGACGGGGTTCCAGACCAGCGGAGCTGTTGGATGGGGAGCAGGTGGCTCCCTGGGGCCTGTCCCCGCAGACACACACCCCCTCCCCCAAGTCCGCCTGCTTCCCGCACCAGAGGGAAGCCCCGCTGAGACGCAGCCCCCGGCCGGCCCGGCACTGGCACTGCCACCTCTCCTCTGGGCAGGGCGGGCGGGGACCCTGACTGACCCCACACGCTGGGCCCTGGCCACCCCTCCCCTCCTTTCTGCAGCTCAGACCAGCTCCTTACAGCCTCTGGCTGCAGAGGGAGGAAGGGGGGGGGGCAGAGGAGAGAGGGGCAGCTGAAGTGGGTGCACGTGGGTGGGACCCAGTGGGGACACGTGCCCGTCTCCCCATCTCTCCCAGCCCCCCATCTGGCGAGCCCAACAGCCATGGTGGGAGGGTGTTTACGCCAGGGCCATGGGCAGACACTGTAAATCAGGGCTTGGACCCTCCCCAAGGGATATTTCCACCCTTGGACGAACCTGGGTGGTCATTTGGTCCCATTTTAGAGATGAGAAAGCTGAGGCCAGAAAGGGGAATGGCCTGGCCAAGGAAATCAGGACTGGATGAGGCCCACAGACACCTTGAGCTGAGGCGGATGGCGGGCCCCTAGCCGGGATGCACCTGTTGGGCCGGGCTGCTTGCTGGCTTCCTCCTGCCGGGGGGGCCCTGTGCTCCCTGGTGGGAGGCGGGTGTGGTTCACCGTGGCCGACTGGGTGATCTCAGCCAAGTCACTCAAAGCTCCGTGCCTCCATCTTACGCTCTGCAAAACGGGATGGTCTCATGGCTTGCCGGGGCAGGAGGTTTGTGAGGGGCGGGGTGGCTGAGTGTGGGGTGCCGATGCGGTGAGTAGGGCTGCAGCTACAGAGGAGGGAGCGGCGGGCGGCAGTGCCCGCGTGGTGTGCCGTGCACATCGGGGCGGCAGAAGTAAGCGTGCGCTTCTCTCTCTGCAGGTTCCGGAGGAGGTACGTCTGGCCTGCGTCAGCCCCCCGCCCGGGGGCTCAGGTTCGCCCACACGTGTCCGCTCGGGGTCTTGTCACACGTGGCAGGGGCTGGTCCCTGGCCCCTCGAGGCCTCTGCGAGGTGGCCCAGGCCCCCGGTCCTGCTGGCGTGAGCTCAGCATGGGCCACCTCAGGCTGCCCGCCCCAGGCCGGCACAGGCCAGGCGTGGCTGAGTTCTGGGCGGACCCATCTCTGGTCCTGGGGCCACCGGAGGCTCTTCCCGAGCCCTGTGTGTCCTTAACACGAGTCTGAAGGCCCGGCCAGTGTGGCTCAGAGGTTGGGTGCCGACCTAGGAACCCGGAGGTCGCGGTTCCATTCCCGGTCGGAGCACAAGCCCAGGTTGCGGGCTCCATCCCCAGTGGGGGGCGTGCAGGAGGCACCTGATGGATGATTCTCTGTCATCATGGATGTCTCCTCCATCCCTCTTCCTCTCCCTTCCTCTCTGAAATCAATAAACATCTATTTTTAAAATGAGCCTGAAGGGCTGAGACCGGTTTGGCTCAGTGGATAGAGCATCAGCCTGTGGACTGAAGGGTCCCGGGTTCGATTCCTGTCAGGGGCATCCCCAGTAGGGGGTGTGCAGGAGGCAGCTGATCGATGATTCTGTCTCCTCGATGTTTCTAACTCCCTATCCCTCTCCCTTCCTCTCTGTGAAAAATCAATAAAATATATATATATCAATAAAATATATTTTAAAAAAAGAAAGAGAGAGAGAGAGAGAGAAACATGGAGGCGGCCCGGCCCGCCCTCCACGCCCCCTCGTCTCCGTCCACCCTCAGCTGCACGGACAGACCAGCATCCACCTGAGCAAGAAGTTCTTTCTGACGACGCGGGCCCGGGAGCGCTCGGACACCTACATCAACCTGCGGGAGGTGCTCAACCGCTTCAGGCTGCCGCCCGGCGAGTACGTGGTGGTGCCCTCCACCTTCGAGCCCAACAAGGACGGCGACTTCTGCCTGCGGGTCTTCTCCGAGAAGAAGGCCGACTACCAGTAGGTGCCCGCCCGCCGCCCACCCCGGCTCAGGGCCTCCTTCTGGGCCCCCGCCCCCGGCTCCCCGGCTCAGGGCCTCCTTCTGGGCCCCCCGCCCCCGGCTCAGGGTCTCCTTCTGGGACCCCGCCCGCCCCCAGCTCAGGTCCTCCTTCTGGGCCCCCCGCCCGCCCCCGGCTCAGGGTCTCCTTCTGGGCCCCCCGCCCCCGGCTCAGGGTCTCCTTCTGGGACCCCCGCCCGGGCTTGGAAGGGGCCGGGGGGGTGCTGCTGGGGGAGGAAGGTCCGTGTCACATGTGGGGAGCAGGGAAACAGACCCTTGAGGACGTCCCGTTAGACGGGGGTGACAGAGCAGACGGCAGAGTCCGCTTTCTCAGCCTCAGCGCCTTGTTTTCTGTCTGGTGGCCTGTGTCAGACGGGCTGCTGGCATCACGCCCCCCACTGGGGATCGAGCCCACACCCCTCTGCTCTCCTGCTGTCCAGGGTGAACGCCCCCTCTCCCCCCACCCTATGGGACACCCCCCCACCCCAACACACACACACACCCAGTGTCTGACTTCCTGGCTCCGGGATGTTCACTCTGATTCCAGCCGCCGGCACCGAGAGGTCCCTTAGCCCCGCGGTCGGCAAACCGCGGCTCGAGAGCCACAGGCAGCGGCTCTTTGGCCCCTGGAGGGCGGCTCTTCCACAAAACGCCACGGCCTGGGCGCGTCTGTGTGAAGACCTGGTGTTAGAAGTCGTTTGCCTTTAAACAATGTGACCCTCCAGAGACACGTCTGTCGCTGTGCTGTTGGTATTTGGCTCTGTGGACCCATGAGTTTGCCGACCACTGGGCTAGGACCCTCAGGGGCCTAGTTTAAGATCCAGGGGCCCTGGGAAGACCCCCCCTGAGCGGAAGTGCCCTCACCCCGGAGCAGAACGGTGTCCGGATTCACTGATCACGGCCGCGCTCCAAGGATTCACTGATCACGGCCGCGCTCACACCCACTGCTCTGCACGGCCTGCCCGCTGCAGCCCCGGAGCCAGCAGGCAGCGGCGTCTGCCGGGGTCTCAGCGTGGAAGATCCACGGGCTGAGGGTGTTTGAAAGGAATCCAGAAGCAGGTCCCGAGGCCGGGGAGCGAGCTGTCCAAGCACCAGCTCCATGGCGGGGAGGAGAAGCGGGGACGGGGGAGGGCGAGGTGCTCTCTGATGGCCACAGCCCGGTAAAGCGAGCAGGTCTCACCCTCCCAGCTGCTGGGCCGCTCCTCCTCGGGGCATCGCGCCACCAGGGAACGGCGAGGACCAGGGAAGCGAGACCTCCGCCGCCCGCCCCTCCCCGTAACACGCATCTCCCTTCCCTTCCAGGGTTGTCGACGACGAGATCGAGGGTGATTTTGAAGAGGTACGTGGGCCATCCGGGAGCGGAGGGGCAGAAAGGAACCCCAGGGTCCGGGGGGGGGGGGGGGAAGGGGAGTCACAGCTGGAAACCGAGGCCCCCCACCTGCTGGGCGCGTGGGTCCACGTGGGGGGCTGCGCAGGACGGCCCCGGTGCTACACTGATCGGAGCAAGATTCTCCCCTCCCTGGGCCCCGCTTTCTCTGTAAAATGAAAGGGATTCAGTGGCAGGTCCTGCAGGGCTGGGACAGACGCACAGACAAGGCTCCGTCCTTCCAAAAGCAAAGCCGTTTCAAAGGGCCCCGTGGGCTCTGCGCACCAGCCAGCGACCAATCCCCCGGAGCAGGCCGGCCCGCCCTCTCGTCCCAATCCCGTGAGACTCGATCACCAAAGGCCACCCGATCGCACTAGAGTCGAATGTCCGAGAAGCCACCTGTGCGAGAATTAGTCTACCTCCTTCCCACGGAGTTTCTGCTCCCGCACATGGGATTTCACTGGGAAAAAATTAAGTTTTCACACCGTCCTGTATCTCAGCCCCCAAAACCCCACAGTCCAGGCCGGGAGTGAGGTTGAGAAGGGCTGTGGCGGGGAGGGGAGCAGGCCCCTGCCCGTCACCTCGTGGGTGGGACCCACAGTCCCTCATTTCTGTGTCTCACCTTCCAGCTCGATGTCAGTGAGGACGACATTGACGACGGATTCCGGAGGCTGTTCGCCCAACTGGCTGGGGAGGTAGGTGTCCCTGGACCCTCTGTCCTGCTCTGGTTGATGCTTGTCCTCAAGGAGACCTCAGGTTCAAGGGCAGAGGAAGCCCAGCCGCCGTGGCTCCGTGGCTGAGCGTCCACCTGTGGACCAGTTCGATTCCCGGTCAGGGCACAGGCCCGGGTTGCAGGCTCCATCCCCAGTGTGGGGCGTGCAGGAGGCAGCCGGTCCATGATTCTCTCTCATCATGGATGTTTCTATTGCTCACTCCCCATTCCTTCTTCTCCGAAATCAGTAAAAATATTTTTTATTTTTAAAAAAAATTTTTTTAAATATATTTTATTGATTTTACACAGAGAGGAATTGAGAGCGATAGAGAGTTAGAAATGTCGATGAGAAACATCGACCAGCTGCCTTTTGCACACCCCCCACTGGGGATGTGCCCGCAACCAAGGTACGTGTCCTTGACCGGAATCGAACCCGGGACCTTTCAGTCCGCAGGCCGACGCTCTATCCACTGAGCCAAACCGGTTTCGGCAGTAAAAATATTTCTTAAATAAGTCAATAAAGAGGAGAGGAAACAGACGGAACCGAAGCCGGGAGGGATTGCAAATGGAACTCAGGATCCTGCCCGTGGCCCCCGAGACCCTGCCCGCTGTGGGCCCCTCTGCTCTGCCTCTGCTCCTCCTGCCCCACTCGCCCTGTGGCTCTTATTCCTTTTCTGTCCGCTCCAGCTGAGACATGGGACTCAGCCCCTCATCCTTCGTTCCCACAAAGATATTGGGGGGGTGGACAAGGCGAGCCACCCCCAACAGGGCACTGCACCTCCCTTTTCTTACAAAAACCCCTCGGCCACGGGGGCCTCCGCTGGCTGCTGGGTTCTCCAGCCCTTTTTCTTCCCACGACCCCACGGAAAAGCCACCCTCGGTCTTCATCAATGGGCTTGGCCCCAGTTACTCTATGGGAGGGGGGAGTGGAGATGGCTGAGCCCGCCCTGAGGGGCCGCGGGCCGGACCAGCCCATGGGGAGCCCCGTCTGAGGCCGCAGGGGGAGGAGTGGAGAGTTTATCCCTGTTTCCCACGCAGAGCGGGGACGACTGACCGCCCCGAGGGCCGTCGCACTGAGACTCTGTGTTAGACCAGGGGTTGGGCCCCCACCCCCACCTGCAGCTCTGGGGGGGCTGTGGGGGTGCACATGCAGAGACCTGGGCAGGGCTGGCATCCAGGGCACGTGGATGGCTCCGTGGATGGCCACTCTGCCCCCGGGGACCCGTAACGATGCCCTCTCGGATGCCCACAGGATGCGGAGATCTCTGCCTTCGAGCTGCAGACCATCCTGAGGCGGGTTCTCGCCAAGCGTAAGTCTCCCCTCCGTGCAGACCCCACACCAGCTCCTTCCCCTGTGGCCGCCTCGCCCGTCCCGACTGCTGTGCCCGCACCGCCACGCCTGCTCCCGGTGAATGCCCCCCAAGGAGGGGCTGAGGGGGGGTGTCTAGTGATGTGATTCTCAAAACTGGTCCCGGGGCCTGGAGGTCACAGTCTCTTCCCGGCTCGCCGGCTTTGGGAACTAACCCCGGTCATAGAACCTTCCGGACTCGATTCCTTACCCGCTGGGCAGTCACGTTACAACTCACCTCTTTAACGAGTAACGCGTGGAGCAAGCATGTCAAACTCACGGGCTGACACGGACCAAAAAACACCCAAAAGCTTCCGTTGCCACAGACACGCAGGTTTATTCGGCCTGAGACGTGCGGAATGCAGAGGGCTGAAATAAGAGCGTCATCGTGAACATAAGATAATGGGACATTTCAATAAAAATGAATGTTTTTTTTATTGAACATGCACTTACCAGACGCGGAATAACTGCACACATTAATAAGCATGATGCAAATAAGCCTATTTTTCCTGTTCTCCGAAAGTGAGATATTTCCTGTTCTCCGAAAGTGAGATATTTCCTGTTCTCCGAAAGTGAGATATTTCTTGTAAGTCAGGCCAAGGCTAATGCCGTGGCCATCGGCTGCTAAAATATTCGCTGCTGGTATTAGTGGAGAGAAATGGTGCGCTCGTGTCTAAGGCTCTTCAGGGAAATGAATGCAACAGGATTAGAGTAACCAGTCATTAGCGAACATTGTAGTCCGTCATGAATAATGATGTATAACAGAATATTATAAAGATGAAGTGATGAAAGTTTTATTAGAACGTTTCTCACTGTTATATCGGTGGGGCCGCAAACATACTCGTTGTGGGCCACACACAGTCCCCGGGCCGTGAGTTTGACATGCTTGGCATAGAGACTGCCTGGCACAAAGCCTGCCCCCCACAAATGGTGGCTGCCATGGTAACAGAAGGCTGAGCAGCCCGGGAAGCACCCCAAGTCCCCGTGTCCCCTGGCCATCTTTAGTAGGAGATCACCCATGGAGAGACATTGATCACTAATCAGCCAGGATGAAAAATAAGTGGACCGTCTTACACTCGGTCTAAGGGAATGACGTTAAAAAGCATCATCTCCCAAATGTGTGTGTGTGAGCCTAATCCGACCCGTTTCTCACTGGGAGAATGTCCCTTCAGTTGAGCCAATGGCCAGGCAGGCGACATCAAGGCCCCAGAAATGGCGGCTCTGGGCCCAGCGTGAGAGGCTTCTGCAGAGAAGGAACAAACGGGACAGAGACCCGAGAAGCCAGAGGACCAGGCTGCGTACAGCATCAGCAGGAAATACCTAAGGACTGACTGTTCACATCGCTGCTGGTGACCAGTAGGGGGAGACACACACACACACACACACACACACACACACACACACACACACCCCAATCCCCCAGGGTCAAAAGTCCTTGTATAATATTTTATTGTAGGGATAGAAACATCCATGATGAGAGAGAAACATGGATCGGCTGCCTCCTGCACGCCCTGCACTGGGGATGGAGCCCGCAACCCGGGCCTGTGCCCTGACCGGGAATCACAGTGTGACCTCCTGGTTCGTAGGTGGATGCTCACTCACCACTGAGCCACACTGGGCTCCCATAACTTGACTCCCCAGATAGGTTTGTGCCTCTCAGATGATCACAAGAGCGTGTGCCTTTGGTATAAGGCAGCAGCCCAGGAGCAGGGCGTGTGTCAGAGGGATAAGCCGGGGCCAGACAGGCGTGCTGGCAGTCCCTGTGGGTCCCCAGCAATCCCGGGACTGACCCCGGAGACAAGTAGATCCTCCCCTCGGAGACCACAGCCCAGGGACAGCGGGGTCTCCAGAGACACTGGCTCCTGCCCAGCGGCCACCAGACCCATAGCTCCTGGGTCACAGCTCCCACCAGGGGGCTGGGCCTGTCCAGTCCCTGGCCGGGCTTCCCCCAACAGGCCTGATGCCTGCCCTCCCTGCCCCACCCTGGAGGGAAAACAAGGCGGTGGTGCTTACCCCGTGGCCGCCAGGCACCGATGAGGTCATAGGCTCTTCAGGCGGTGGCCCTGAGCCACGCTGACTGAAGCCTCATTGTTTCCGCACAGATGGAGGTGGGGGTGGGAACCAGGCAGCCTGGCCTCCTGCTCCAGCCTCCCCCAGGCCTCTGAGCATGGGACCTCCCTCCCAGCTGCCCGGAGACTCCTGGCTGCCCACGCCCCACACACAGCCCCCTGCCCACACCCGAAAAGGGGTTGGGCCCAGGCTGGCAAGTTTTTTTGTTTGTTTGTTTGTTTGTTTTAATATATTTCATTGATTTTTTTTACAGAGAGGAAGAGAGAGGGATAGAGAGTTAGAAACATCGATGAGAGAGAATCACGGATCAGCTGCCTCTTGCACACCCCCTACTGGGGATGTGCCCGCCACCAAGGTCCATGTCCTTGACCGGAATCGAACCTGGGACCCTTCAGTCCGCAGGCCGACGCTCTATCCACTGAGCCACACCGGTTTCGGCGAGGCTGGCAGCTTTGAGACGGGTTAGGTTCTAACCTTTACGAGGACGCGGTGAAAGTGGCCGTGTTCCTGTGAAGTCTGCGGGGACCAGACCCTCAGGGTGGCAGGGTCTCATGCCAGCACCAAGGAGAGGGGACCGGCCTGGGAGACAGCAGTGTCTCCGGGTGGCTGCGGGGCCTCTGGTTTCTCCCTCGGCCGGGCACAGGGTGGCTCAGAAAAGGCCTGCGGCCGACGGTCCAAGGAAGCCCTCTGCCCGGCCCAGCCTGGCCCGGCCTCCACGAACTCACGTGACCCCACGTCTCTTTCCCACGGTGACTCTGCACCTGGGAGCGCTGCTGGCCCTGGCCGGCTTAGGCCAGTGGATGGAGCCTTGGCCTATAGACCAAAGCATCATGGTTCCGATCAAGGGCACATACCTTGGTTGCAGGCTCCTCCCCGGCCTGGGCCCTGGGATGGATGCAGGAGGCCACCAATCGATGTGTCTCTCTCCCATCGATGTTTCTCTCCGTCTTCCCCTCTCCCTTCCACTCTCCCTAAAAAAAAATCAATGGACAAACACCCTCGGGCGAGGATGAACCAGCACCACCAGGGAAGGCACACAGAACGGGCAGGCGCCTCTGTCTGTCCCGGGCGGAGCCAGTAGCCAGAAATGTTACTTCACACCTTTCCAGCGGCCTCTGTACCCAGGGGTGCCGATCCAGGGCCCTGCCGCCGAGGGGGGAAGTGCCTGGCCAGTGCGGCTGCCGGAGGTGTTCTTGTCTCTCTTACCTTGTCTTCTAGGCCAAGATATCAAGTCCGATGGCTTCAGCATCGAGACCTGCAAGATCATGGTTGACATGCTGGATGTATCCTTTCACGTGTCCCTGCTGAGAACACGGGCCGGGGAGCCTGCCGTGTCACCCTGCAGAGAGAGAGCCAGACACGCTGTCCGCCGGAGGCCAGCTGCTGCGAGGGTGTAGGACTGTTGTCACCAGGGAACGTGTGACTTCAGGGGAGGGGAAGCGACAGGCCCCAGGCTCAGAGGGCAGTGGGCGTGTCCCTGGGACCGGGGCAGGACTCTCCCACGGTCCGTCCGCCATCCTCCGCCCCAAGCGCTTGGGTGTGTGTCCCCGAGTGACGGTGTTCCCACTTCTTCCTCTAGGAAAACACACTTGACCCTTGAACCACGAGGGGCACTGACCCCCCCACATCATCGAAAATCCTCGGGTAACTTTCGACTTCCTCAAAACGTAACCACTAAATGGTCTGCTGTTGACCGGAAGTCTTACCAATTGGAAGTCTGACCAATACCGCACGTATTGTGTGCGACACACGTTATGTGCCATACCAGAGGCCCAGTGCGCGTAATTTGTGCAAGAGTGGGCCTTCCTTCCCGCGGATGCTGGCACCGGCTTCCCCCTCGCACCCGGGACCCGGGATTCATCCGGAAGGCTGTCCGGTCTAATTAGCATATTGTGCTTTTATTATGATAGATTCTTACCCTAAAGTAAGCTACCAGAAATGTCATTAAGGTCATAAGAAAAAATAGGAAGCTCCCTGCATGTCATCCATCAGCTCCTTTTGGGCAGGATCTGGGTCCCCACGGCACCCCCAGACCGATCAGCGAGCGGGGCGCAGGGAGCAGGCAGGTGTCTCTCCGTGGCCCCAGAGTGCCCGGCGGCTTTCCTTAACCGACGGCAGTCCGACGGCAGCGGCAAGCTGGGCCTGAAGGAGTTCTACGTGCTCTGGACGAAGATCCAGAAGTACCAAGTAAGCGCGGGCGCGAGGGCGGCCGGTCGGCCGGTCGGCCGGTCTGTGTCAGGGACGCGCTGCCGGGCTCGGGCCTGTGGACACAGTGGCGCAATGGGTGGGGTGGGGGCCTCTCCCCGGGCGGGCGTGAGCTCAGGATGAGCGGAGGCAGGCCCAGTGCACAAAGCGAGGGCTGTGCAGGCTCAGGGCTCGCTCCCCGCCTTCAGCTCGCTGAGCAGACACAGGGTCTCCGGGAAGCCGCCCTCCAAAGGCTGTGGCCTCCTGTGCTTGGGCGTTTTATTTATTTTTTAAATTATTTTTTAAAATCTATTTTATTTATTTTTTACAGAGAGGAAGGGAGAGAGATAGAGAGCCAGAAACATCGATGAGAGAGAAACATGGATCAGCTGCCTCCTGCACACTCCCTACTGGGGATGTGCCCGCAACCAAGGTGCATGTCCTTGACCGGAATGGAACCTGGGACCCTTTAGTCCACAGGTTGACGCTCTAGCCACTGAGCCACACCGATTTCAGCTGCTTTGGCGTTTTAACGGCCCAAGTATACGGATACCTCAGACAGGCAGGCGGGCCCCCTGGCTCGCTTCGCCGACGACATCCAGTTGGCTGGCCGACTGGATGTGTGGGTTTACAAACCGCTCACATAGAGACAAAACACCATCAGCCGCTGAAGGCAGGAACAGCCATTCTCCTGACAAAGGGGCGGGTGGGCAGAGCAGGAAAACCAGCCCCTCAGCACCGGGGCCTGCCCTGGCCTGGTTCTCATCGCCGCCTTGCACGTGTCATTCCAGAAAATCTACCGGGAGATTGACGTGGACAGGTCCGGCACCATGAACTCCTACGAGATGCGGAAAGCCTTAGAAGCAGCAGGTGAGACGTCACCGTCGCGCTTCCTTCGGCCTCGCTGGGGGCGTGTGGGACGCACACGACACAGTAGCCAGTTGGTGGGCGGTGAGACACAGCAGGTGCCCGTGTAGGACAAGGCCGATGGGCAAAGCCAAGTGAGGCCCAGATGCTCTCTGCCCACGAGGCCGGCCTGCATCTAAGCCTCCTTCGGAGAAGCCTGGCGGGTCCTGCAGGCAAGGCCAGCTCTCAGCAGCGATGGCGGCTGCCATGGCGAGAGGGCCACGTGGGCTCCGCGTTCAGAGGTCGGGGCGCGGTCCCCCCTGAGCCGGCGTCTGCCTGTCCCTCCCCGTAGGTTTCAAGCTGCCCTGCCAGCTCCACCAGGTCATCGTGGCTCGCTTCGCCGACGACGACCTCATCATCGACTTTGATAACTTCGTCCGCTGTCTGATCCGCCTGGAAACGCTCTTCAGTAAGTGGCCGGCGCGTGCAGGTTCCCACGCGTGTGTGGCCTCGCCAGGACCGCAGGCCGGCTGTCCAGTGGAGGGCGGGCACCCTCCTCTCGTTTGGGGGAGGAGGGGCAGAAACGACGGCTGGGGAGACTCAGGGACGCCAGAGGGGAAGGAGATGATGTGCCATCACTGCCACTCACTCACGGTGACACCTGCTTCTCTTCCCTCCCCCCCCCCGCCCCCCCAGGAATATTTAAGCAGCTGGACCCCGAGAACACGGGAACCATACAGCTGGACCTTATCTCTGTAAGCACACCACTCCTCGCTCGGACGGGGACGGGAGGACAGGGACCTGTGGCTGGTTGACCTGCTGTTTGAAAGCTCTCTGGTCCGCTGGGCACAGGCCTGTGAACGGGTCTAGGACGGCACGCCGCACTGTATCTACGGTCTCTCCCCAGGTTCCCACGGGCCCTAGGGCACCTGTCCCTGCTCCCAGGAGCTTCCCCGAGGGCAGCCCTGAGTGGAGATGAGAAGAGGGGGCTGCAGACCCCCCTTAGAAGCGCACCCTGCTAGCCAGCAAGCCTGGGCTGAGGGGCTTCTAGAGGAAAACCTTTTAGATGAAATTCAAGAGCATTCTTAGAACAGATGGACTTAAACTAGCTGCTGAGGACATCGCTTTCCTCTCCTCCTTCCCCCTCTAAGACAAAATAAACAGTCAGGACAGGGGCAGGCGGCAACCAATTGAGGCGTCTCTCCCACATCCATCTTTCTCTCTTGGCCTCAGTAACAAAAAACGCAGAGCGAACATGATAATCCAGATGTTGTCCGCGTTGCACATTGCATGTGTCTCATTCAACCCTCGATATAATTCATGACCATCTGCTTCCAACATCAGCCTTTTACTAACCTGATAAAAACATGATTCTAGAAACCAGGCAGAAAAAAGTGAGAGCTGGCCCACTATATCTTAACCCTCGCTCAGCTATTCTGGTACCAAGTCAGTCTTTCGGAATCACCTACAGGTCAACTATCCTTCATGTCAAAAATAGTCGTTGAACTGATTTTTTTTTTTTTCTTTCCTCCCAGTGGCTCTGCTTCTCAGTACTTTGAAGTTATAAACACATCTGCCTGAAGACTTCTCGTGAAAGAGAATCTGCCACGGACTACGCTTTCACAGAGAAAACTTTTATCCGGACCTCGATGATGGGAACATTTACTTAAGCCGATGATTCTAGCCGAACATAAGGATACCATTTGAGATAGAAGATTTGCATATCATTAGACTAAATGCGAGTGAGTCGCTAACCCTCGACCAGCTCAAAGGAAGTTTTAGGTCTGTACATAGGATGCACTTTTTACTTTTACACACACGGCCCCTTTAGAGCAATATTCAATCAGGTAAAATACATACATAAATAAATGCAGGTGTTTAACAGCTGAGCAAACACTCAGTCGACCTCAGAGGACACCAGGTCCTGCCTGCTGGGAATACTGAGAGCAACTTCAAGTTCAAAAACGCAGCGTCGACCAAACAGCAGCTCAGAGCTCACCAGTTCCCTTAAGTGAAATCGGAAATCCTAGTATGATGGTCTCAGAGCCCCTGGAGCCGGTGAGAACGCCCACCCCATCACTGGTTAGACAGGAGACTGTTTAAGGACCTGACCTGGCCCCACACCGAGCGCTTAAAATACTGCAGGGAGTCACTCGTGGCCGCGGACACACACACACACACACACACACAGGGTACCAGGCGTCCAGCTTGCACACCTGTTGTGACGAAGATAAAACGGGCTGTTTGCTGCTCAAGCTCCCGCACACGGCCACCTCCAGCATCTCACAGAGTGGGGGGTCGGGCGAGGGACCCCCAGAAGAGCCGACACAGCTCGTTCCCGCTTCCCCTGGGGCCGTGCTAACAGGAATGCTGCCTTGTTGCCTTACCTCCTGCCCAGTGTGCTGTTAAATAAAGAGTCGCCTGGCACCCCGGTGCGTGCTGTGCTTCCTCTGACCCGGGGTGACCCCGATTTCCGGGGGGGGGCTGGTGCGTGACACGGAAAACCAAACCCAGCGGGCGCGCCAAGTCCCACAGTTGGCTTTTATTACAACTGTTTTCAAAGTCAGCTATGATCGTGACAAATGTTACGGGTAGGTTTATAACAAGTCTCTAATTTCCAAGATACAAAAGGCAATAAATATAGATCCAAATGTGGCCTAAAAAACGAGATTCCAAACCTAATGATCTGCATGTGCGTAATTCTTAAACTGCTACCAGCACGTGTAACAATGAAGTCACTGCTCACTGGCGACCAGCCGCTCTTCACTGACGATGCCTTCTTCGGGGCAGAGGCAGCTGGTGCTGGGCCATCAGAGGTGGCCCGTGATGGCACTGTCCTTCCCGCGCTGGGACAGGCACAGGGTCTCCCAGGAGCCTGAGCGGCCCCTGGCACGCCTGTCCCGGCGCAGTGAGGTCCGTTTCCGGGGCCGCTGTCCTGCGCCCGGCGAGTCCTCCGTCCTTCATTTCTTCCGGAGCACATCCTCGCGGCTCTCCCACCACAGCGCCATTGAACAAGTCTGTGAGAGTGTGCCCAAACACTCCTGCGACTTCTTAGCGATAACGGAGTAATTCTTCATTAACTACATTCAATCAGGGTTCAGGCCAAGCTCCTCTGTCTTGGTTTAATTCGTGGGTACAGCTGTAAGAGAGTTTACAAAACGTTTACATACGTACAAACACGTGGGGGCAGAACAGCTCAGGAAATGGGGGGCGGGCCCTGGCGGGACAGGAAAGAAATGGTTTAAGAAAAGCATTCTCAGAGTTGCCTGAGGACGCAGATCCACACGCAGCAGCTCTCAGCTCGGGCACACTCTGAAGCCAGGGGTCCCTCAGCGGCACAAAGCCACGGGCAGGGACATACACGATGAGCGCCATCGCACGGCCTGCCGCCTGTGAACACGTCCCAGGACGACGCCATCGGCTGCGGGGACCCGCAACATGCCCGCGTCCCGCACCCACAGCTCCCATTTCAAGGGAAACGCAAGAGCTTCACGTCTTTCAACCTGATCCACGGAGGACACGGCTGTGTCATGGGAGCCGGCTGTCAGGGCGAAGGCCGCAGACTGCCCGTCTGCAGGTCCAGGAGGGACAGGGAGTGTTTGTTTGGGGTTTTGTGGGCTGTGTTTTCCATAACAAGAGCTGGAGAGGAGGTGTATGGGAAGGTCACAAGATCCCCGTCGGGAAGCCAAGAGCAAGTCAAGCTAGTAATTCAACTGGCGACCGAACAAAAGCTCCCCCTCCCCTCCCTCTCCCCCCCTCTCCTCTCACAAAGGAGAAAGAAGGTTTTACTGAAAGAAAGGACTCGGGCTTCCAGCCAGAACTGGAAAAGTCACTGGAGGACCCGCTAGAAAGGGTGTTTTTCTCTTTGAGAAAAGATATTTGGCCAGCACCATTTTCTAAATTCGTAGCTGAGCCTCTGGCTAAAAATTCAATATGTATGCAATTTTCTTTTTACATCTGAAAGAAATAAGGAAAGGAAGGCGGTGTGGAAGCCACTTCTGCCCAGAGATTTCCAAAGACTCTAAGCGCTGGCTGGAGGGTCTTCGGGTGTTTGTTGCTGGGGTTTGTCTGAGAGGGAAGTGGTGCTCAGACCGCGTTTCCCTGGGGCTACAGGCTGAGCGAAGCCAGTGGGGCTCCGAGGACAGCCACCTCCGTGTTTCTGCTTCCTCTGGGAACCCAAAGCCTTTACAGGGCCCCACTCCGGGACCCTCTATCATTTATGTTATGATTACACGGAGGAGCACTATCTGTCCAATAGTAAACCCTGTATCACAGGCCGAGTGGGGACGGTGAAGTCACTCAGGCTGCACAGCAGACAAGCAACAATGGAGAAGGGAGAGCCAGGGGGACAGGCCGGTCACCAGCTGGCCGGCCAGGCCCCGGCTGGGCCAGGGCCTCTTGGCCAGTGGAAGCTCTAAGTGGGCACAGGCCATGTCTGCCCCACAGCTGATGGCAACACCAGCAGAACCACCTCCCAGCCCCAGTCAGCCGCCTGCTCCACCCTCCACCTCGGGAAGCAATCTCCAGCCTCCCCACCTGCCTCCGCGGCCGCCGTCACCCAGGTCCCAGGGCCCGGGCACCTGCCCGGGGTGGGAGCCAGGCTGCTGACCTGCGTGCTGTTCCTTGTCGGTGGCATCGGCCCTTCCTGCCCTCAGACTCGCCTACTTCCTCGCCCACAGGCTCTGCAAGCGCTTGTCCCTTTAAGCTCCGTCTCTCAACTAACCCCTCTCTCTGCGGGTTCCCACGGCCCCAGGCCCACACGGTATGAAACACGGAAGCTGTGAAGGAGGCTCATGCCAAGTCCACAGGTGTCCTCCCCCTTCCCCCGTCCCCCACAGCTTCTCCCCGAAGGCCCCGCTGTTCACATGATCTTATTATTTCCTGGTTTTTATGAAACTTGAAATCAAACAGCAGAGAAAGAACAAAGAATCCTGCTCGCTGCCAGAGTTGCGAATCCCGATTTAAACACTCAGGTCCAGTGTCAGGAGCCCGCTGCCCATCACGCTGGCCAGGTACCTGCACACGCAGACAGGCCCTGACCTCCAGGCCGGCAAACACCCAGAGGCATCACTGAAAACGTGGCTTTCAGCCTAGATCTAGACCATCCACGTTTACCTTCCACGTCCCCTCACCAGGGTTCCCACAGCCCCCTCCGGCCGCGCCGGCCGGCACTCACCCCCAGCAGGTTGCGGGGCACGTAGCCCTCCCGGTCGCCCAGGCGCGCCCACCACCACTCCACCTCGGCCTCGTCCTCGCGCCGGAGCACGGTCATGCAGTCGCCCTCCTTCAGGGGCAGCTCGTCGTCCTGCTGGGGCTCGTAGTCCCACAGCGCGTAGATGACGCCCTTGTTCATGATGCCCATCTTCTCCTGGACGCCTGCGGGCGGGGGCACGGCGCGGGCGATGGGACGTGGGTACCAGCCGGCCCTGCACCTCCCACTGAACACGCGCACGCAGGGTCCCGGCAGGGAGGGCGCCGCAGAGCAGAGGGACAGCCGGGGGAGGTGCCTGCGCTGCCGGCTCTGAGCTCGCACACTGACCCCCCTGAGCACTCTGCCCGCTAGTCTGCCCTCCCCCCCCCGCCCGACTCCTGCAAGCCCAGCGGCCAGAGAACCGCTCCAGGCGAGGACGTAAGCGTGAGCACATGCCGCCCCTCCCAGCCTGCTCTTAAGCATCGGGCCAAAGAACGCAGACACGGCCTCATTCTCCCTGAATTCCAAGCTACAGAGGGAGGAGCAGAGGTGTGTACCGGTTAAAGGGGTCTATCCATTTCCAAATGAAGAAGGGTAAGAGCAGCACATATACAATACGCTGGGATGCAAAATGTGGCTCAGTGCTTTAGATGTGATTTTTTAAAAGCCTGCATGCAATGGGGAGCCTTTGTAATAATATGAACAATAAAGATTGATTAAAAAAAAATAAAAAAATAAAAAATAAAAAAAAAATAAAAATAAAAATAAAAGCCTGCATGCAGTCAACTCTAAAATAATGAGTCTCCGAGTTCTAAGACAGTGAAATCCACAAACTGTAAGGACTGGTATCCTCAGTGAGCAGCGCCCACTCTGTAGCAGAGCTCCTCCCAGCCCCCCGTCCTCCTCCCCACGGGGCTGCTCCTGAGAGTACCGGTCCTTCCAGGGAGGCAATGGGGCTGCGGGGGCGGGAGGGGGGCACGTACACACGTCAGGCGAGGCCTACGCACCGTACAGGAACTGCGAGCACTGCGTGTAGCCCTCCTCCATCTCCTCGCACTTGTCCGCGGCCGTCTGCATGTCGCTGTAGGTCATGGCGAACACGGCGGCCCCCGACTCCACCAGGAACTTGCACACCTGCACGTTGTTGCAGGAGGCCGCGCAGTGCAGGGGGGTCCTGTGGGGGCACAAGCGGGCCGGGGGCGGCTCGTTACCGAATGGCGCCTGCGGCCACCTGGGTCTGCGAAAGAAGGTCTGAGTCTGTGTCTACTAAGCCCTCCTTCCGAGGATCTTCACCGTTTCCCTAAGTCAGCTACACGCAGACGCCGAGCCACTGGAGAACCACAGCCGCCGGGAACACGGCTCAGTGCCGGGCTGCCCGGGCTGGGCGGCGGGGAGTGGGGGGAGGGACCCAGGAAATGAGCGGAAGGACGTGAAACCTGGTGATAACCTAAACCCGGGTGAGATGTATGCAGTTCGATGCTCTGAAGCTCCAGCCTGATTATTCTGCCGGAGCAGAGGCCACACGGCCTTTTCATTAAAGACCTTTATTCAGGACGTGGCCTCGCCATTCATACCATCACCGACTCTCTCGCCAGCACCGCCAATGCTTTGTTATGGACCACAAGCCACCCCAGGCTGACAGGGAGGCAGGGCCGCTGCCCAGGCTCTGAAGAAGGGCTTGAGAATTTTATTAAAAATATATATTTTTAGCCGAAACCGGTTTGGCTCAATGGATAGAGCGTCGGCTTGGGGACTGAAAGGTCCCGGGTTCGATTCCGGTCAAGGGCATGTACCTTGGTTGTGGGCATATCCCCAGTAGGGGGTGTGCAAGAGGCAGCTGATTGATGACTCTCTCTCATCGATGTTTCTAACTCTATCTCTCTCTCTTCCTCTCTGTAAAAATCAATAAAATATATTTAAAAATTAAATAAATACATATAAATATATATATATATATATATATATATATTTTTTTTTTTTTAAACTGATTTTAGAGAGGAAGTGAGAAAAAGAGGGATAGAAATCAATACATGCCCCTCCACTCGGGGTGGAGAGGGATCGAGCCCACAACCTGGGCATGTGCCCTTGGCTGGACTCGAACTTGGGGCCCTTTAGTCCACAGGCCAACGCTCTATCCACTGAGCCAAACCGGTTTTGGCAGGGCTTGAGAATTTTAAGCAGGCCCTAAAGTACGTAGCTTCTGCTTCTTTACCCTCTTTCTCCCTCCCCTCTTTCATTTCGTTCCTCTTGGGTGAATAGCTTTAAAAAATGTGCCCCCACCCCCGATCCAGGCGCTACCCCTCCTAGTGTGGGGGCTGTCACTGCAGATTGTTCAGAGTGGGAAATCAGGTATAATATGCGGAGTTGCAAGGAAGCCTCACCACCCGTCGCTGTCGGCAGCGTTGACGTTCACCCCGAACTGCACCAGGAACCTGACGATCTCGGTGTGGCCGGCGCACACGGCGTTGTGCAGCGCCGTGATGCCCTCGTCGTTGGGCAGGCTCGGGTCCTCCACCTGCAACGGCAAGAAGGAGGGCGCCACTCAGTGTCTCCGCACCTGGCCCGCCTGGCACGGGCGACTGGCTCTGCGGGACCATGAGGACAGAAATAGACTTGTGGCTTTTGTCTAAAAAAATCATAATCAAAACCTACAAAAGCCAAGAAAATGATATGCAGAACGATTCTAGAAATGAGACAGACAAAACAGCCACATTAAGTAGGCACTCACTATGAAAAGTTTTTTCCCCCCAAAAAATTGAAGTAGAACCAGAAACTCTATCCGTAGAGTCATTTTTGTTTATTTACCCTCCAACTTCCCACCACAAATTAGTGTCTAAACTACAAGTGACATTTTCCATGGAAAGGAAAAAAGGTCAACTAAAAATATTCTAAATTGTAGGCTTCTGAGCAGAAGGACCACATCTGTAATTTAACCGTCTAGTGCAAACCCACACAGGAGCAACTTTTAAAGGGGGGCGAGGACCCCGGAGAAAGCACAGGACTCCAGGGGGCCCGGTGAAGACGGCACTTCTGCATCATCGAACACGCGACAGTCACACCTTTAGGACAGCAACGCCCGCTTTGGAGCAAGTTCAAGAGCTTCTCTCAACAACCCCGCCTCCCCCAAAGAAAACTCAAAAACACAACTTCTCTATGGCAGCTTCCTGATGAGAGCTTTAAAGCCAACTATGAAGCAAGGTCGTGTTTAAGAAACCGACCAATCATACCTCGTAGATAATCCTCTGCACAAGGTCAAATTCCCCCTCCAAAGAGGAATCCAGGAGCAAGGCCAGGGGGTTGAACTTCACCCTCATTCCGTGAGCAATCCGCTCGGAGCCAGTCTTACGTAAGTTGGTCCTTTTGCCCTGAAGAAGAAAAGCGTGGCAAAGTAAGGAGCCTGTTCTAAGCAAGAGACCAACAAAAACGGGGAGGAATAACACCCCAGCTGAGTTGGTAAAAGACACAAAAAATACATTCAGCACTTTCTATTGAAGCATCACATTATTCAGGAGAGTGCATAAGCCACAACAGCTTATCCCATGTGCCCCCAGAACGTGACTTTCTGGAACCTGGTGAGATACCTTTGGTCGTCCCTGCAGCATGAACGGAGCTAAGAGGAACATCTCCAATGACAGGCAGGCTGGTTTTCTGTCAAGTTCAAAACTAACCAAGACTGGTCTTTAAATTGCTTGCCTACTATAGCACAGCAAACCTCACGGTTCACTTGGGCAAGAGCTAACCCTAACCCCTCTCCTTTCCTCTCTCTAAAAAGCAATAAAAATTGTGTTTTTAAAACACAACACTGTTTCCTCCCCGTGTATAAGGCCCACCTGTGCCTAAGGAATTATAAAAGGCCAAGTGCAGGGCACACCCATGGCCACAGGATGCGCCTTCTTCCGGAGTTCCACACCAACACCCGGAAGAGGGACAAGGCTCCCGAATCGTCACACGCACCACGTGACTTACCGGAGGCAGCGACACCTGCCCGGTGATCTCAGGCGGACGCATGCTCCCGGAGTCTTCCCCCAGCCCCTCGGGCTCCCCCGACGGGTACGGAGGCGGAGGGTAGGGGGGGTACTCCTCCAGGTACACCTCCAGCACGTGGGGGGCCTCCGGGTTCGGTTCCTCCACGCTGTTCTGGAAACTCGGGCTGGGGTCGGGGGCTCCCTCGGACACGTAGTCGGGGCCCAGGAGAGGGGCTGGCAGGTCGCTGTCCTCTGCGCTGGCGCTGGCGGCTGCCTCTGGGGCCACGGGCTCCGGAGCCAGGGAAACCGCCTCCTTCTCGGGCTCCGCGTGTGCGTACGGGTTCTGGATCTCCACGGGGCTCTCGGGGCCGGCGGGCACTGCGCTCGGCGGGGCCGGGTAGGATGGCACGGAGATGGTCTCCATGGCAGCGATGGTGGTCCTCTGGTACAGCAGCTTCTGGATGTTGGGCCCGTTGGGCCCCTCTGGCTCGGTGATGGAGCTCCGCTTCTTCAGGGGCCGGGGGGCGTTGGACAGCTTCTTGCGCAGAGCTTCCAAGTCCACGTCGCTCTGGTTCCGGTACGGGTGCGACAGGAAAGGCAGCAGCTTGGTGGGGCTGAGGGGCCGAGGGATCCGCTCGTGCTCGTGGCTCTCGGGAACGGAGGCGGCCGGCTCCGCGTCGGGCTCCGGGCCGCCGGCTCTGCCCTGGTTACCGGCGTAGAGGCCGTCCGGGGGCGGCTGGTTTGGGGCAGCGACCACGGGCTTGCCGTAGACTAATCGCAAAAGGAGAAAAGCCCCGGTTAAGTTAACTAAGCAACACTGGCAAGGCACAGACACGGCTAACCCCAGGGAAGCGCCTCCACGGGCACCAGGCACCAGGAGGACATGATCGCCTGTGTCCTCCGCTCTGGAGGGGCCGCGGCAGGGGGAGCAGGTGCCCTGGGGCAGCCACCACGCGGCTCTGTCTCTCCCACCGCTTTCATCCCCATTAGACTCAGCGTTTCGTAGGATTCACTGTCACCACTGCGGTGGCTGATGTGTAGCAGAAACTCCCCTTTTAAGCTGCCCATCAAGACCGAAAGCCACGATGCAACAAGCTCTTAGGACAAAAGCAGCGGTCAGCCGGGCCAGTCCCCCGGCTTCCTGGCGGGACTGCCGTCCCCCCGCGGGGACGGGAGGGGGCTCACCGCTGGGGAAGTGCGGGCCTCGGGGCTGCGCCTTGGTCAGGGCGCTCTGCACGGCCTGCTGGAAGCTCTTCCCGGGCGCCTGCTGCTGGGTGTACATGGAGTAGATGGAGCTGGCCGCCACCGTCTGCGGCCTCCGGAAGGGCGGCAGGCCGGCGTCCTTGGCGGGCTGCGGCGTGAAGGGCCGCACGGCCGCGGCCGGCGGGCTCTCCTGCGGCGGCCCCGCGGGCTTGGGCTTGTTTCCCGCGGGCGCCGCGGCGGCGGGCAGCTGCTGAGGGCTCCCGTCGGGCTTCACGTCCGGCGGGGACGCGCTGGTTTGTCCATAATAAGGCAAGTTGATCTGTTTGGGCTTTGATGGGACGGGAGGTGGTACTTTCCCGTTTTTGTTTGCGGCCTGTAAGACACACACACACACACACACACACACACACACACACATACACAGTAAAAACACTGAGCCACTGGGCACAGGATGGTCTAGATCACCTAACTCCACACATGCAGGTGACCACTAAACTAGCTCCACGTTTAAACCCTTCACATCTAACCCTAAGGCCCTGAACTGACGCACAGTTACTGGGACTCAGTAACCCAGCTCAGTTCCGGGGAGGAACCGCTTCCTTGTGGCCACTTCCTGTCCCGGCAGGTAGCTGAGCAGGACACCCTGGATGCTCTCCTGTGCATGCGTGTCTTTGGGAGACTTACGTGAAATACGGCCCAGAACAGGTGTGTCCGTGCCCCCGGAGGCGTGACGCGCACACAGACTCACGGACAGCGACAGAGGCCGCGTGCTTCCTCCCCGCCCCGGTGTCCCGCCGCTCCCTGCCCCCCGCCTCGCCCTGTCCCCCTTCTAACACCGCGGCTGTACCCCGGGCGCCCCGCACCTGCGCGTCCCGCAGGATGTCCTCGCTGCTCTGGTTCTTCCGCAGGGACCCGAAGGCGGGGGGCGCAGCCGCCTGGTCCACCGTGTCGAACATGGAGAAAGGCCGCACTTTCTTCTCCTTCTCCCTGGGCGGAGCCTCCCCGTCGTCAGCTGAGAAACAGAAAAGAAAAAAAAAAAATCACACTGATACTCAAACTGTAGCGGAACTTATTCCTCACCTCAGTCTCCCTCCCCCATCTCTCTGAAACCTGCACTCACGAAATGCCTCCCTGATTTTCATTAAGTTGATGGAGAAATAACCCAAACACGACAATGCTGGCACTGCCTTCCTTCCCTGGCTCCGTGCGGGTGATCTGCACTAAGTCGTGTGTCCCCCCACTTCCCCCGCTGGCTTTCCCACTGAGACAAACCCCCGGAGAAGGACGGGGCGCCGTGAGGGCCCAGACGGGGCGGGGGCAGCCCGGCCTCACCTGGGTCCGGCGCGCTCCCGGTGCCTTTCGGGGCGGGGGCGGGGGCCTGGCTCGGGAAGAGGTCTGCGTGGGAACTCCAGTCGGGGCCAAGGGAATGGACCTTCGAGCCTGGAATTCAGAAAAGCACCACAAGTCAGCTGGCGTTCCGAAGAGTCCTCACCGAGTCCTCTCGCTGCTACGAAGTGGAATCTCTCAAAAACAGCTCTAAGTGTCAGATTCAACCATCCCAGCAAACTTATTTAGAAAGTATCAGGGGGCATAGTTCTAATTTAAAATTTCCCCCCTTCCTCAAACAATTTATTTTTTAAATATATTGTATTGATTTTTTTTTTTTTTTTTTTTTTTTACAGAGAAAGGGAGAGGAACATTGAAGAGAGAGAAACATCGATCAGCACACCTCCCACTGGGGATGTGCCCGCAACCAAGGTACATGCCCTTGACCAGAATCGAACCTGGGACCATTCAGTCCGCAGGCCGACGCTCTATCCACTGAGCCCACCCGATTATGGCTCTTCAAACAATTTAAAATTAATCGTGGCAGACGGGAAGTCTGCCAACAAGGACACATTACGCTTCGCTGGTAAGAACATGTCACCACCACACTCAGAAAATGGCTTCTAATACAGCAGTCCCGGGCTCCCGAACGACACCCTAAGAATGCACAGACTACAACAGGCAAAGAAATAAAGAAATAAAAAGGAGCCATAGCTCGGACTAGTCTTGCCCAATCAGCGTATTCGGGATTCTCCTCCACCAGGATGGAAGTTACAAAGCTTTTCTTTGTCTTTACAGAAACACCACAAAAGCGCCCCTACAGTAGACTCACGAGGTGACACACTGCTTCACAGCGGCATTACGGCAAAATCATAACGAAGCTACCGAATGTCACCATGTGAGGATGGTTAGGAAAGAGAGACAACGCTGGCTGTCATTTTCTTCCTTTCCCACGGTTCTCCCTTCATCCTCCTCCTGTTACAGACCTCCGGCTTGTACCTCCCCGTGTGCCCGAGAACCACCCGGGATCAAAGCTCACTAACCCGGGGCCTGCTGCTCACACGTTCCCTCCCACATGCGTACCGGACCCTAGCACCATCAGCGGGCAGGTCCGCGAGCCAAGCACCTGGTTTACCAACGGGACTTACCACCTGGCACTCTGCAAAGTCACCACCACTGACCTCAGAGACGGTGTTTTCACACAGACAGTTCCCAGTTACTAACACCCGGTCACAATGTCCTGAGTCACAGGAGGAATTCAGTACAGTTTGCGGATTTGCAGAAACATTGCATTCGCTTCCCTTCCTGACCAGAACTGTGTCACTCGGGGCTGAGAACATTATATTCTGCTGCCCTTCCTGACCAGCAGAGAATTCAGGGGATTCCTGGACTCTGACCACGGGCAGGGACAGGAAGGCGGTGTTGGAAAGCTCAAAGGGGGAACGCGGCGGAGGCGGGGGACGGAGCTGTGGGAGGACGGGCCGGGCGGTGACGGGCTTTACCTTTGGCTTGGGCGGCGGCCCCGGACCGCATGTGGGGCAGGGTGTGCACCTTCATGGGCCCCTCCGCCGGCTGCATGGCCAGGGGCCCGTCGGGCAGCGCCGGCTTCACCAGCAGCTCCGGCCTCGCCGGCATCCGGGGCATGGTGGACGACTGGATGTAGGGGCCGACGGCCGCCACACGACTCGGCGCCGACACGCCTTGCGGAGGCAGGTTCCCATCGGGCGAGACCTTCGGAGGAAGCACAGGCCCCTCAGGATCGCCGGGCAGGCGGGATCCGGCCCATCGTGGCCACCCAGCGGCCGCAGCCAGAGTCCACTAGAAACTCCCCGACAAGCATCGGCCAGAAAACCGGAGCCAGCGGGTCGGGGCGTCGGCAGGCACCAGGCGACGGTCACGTCTGAGTAGCTCTGGGCGCCGCCTCCGCGGAGGGCACGGCCAGCACTGACCACAGCAGCCGCCGAGCGGCCCGCGGGGCCGGCCCGGCCCCTCCCGCCCAGCCCGGCGCCCACTCACGGGCAGGTTCTCCTTCTGCTGCAGCGCCGCCTTCTTCTTCCACAGGCGGTCCCGCAGCTCGTTCACACGCTTGTCCATCAGCGCCACCTCTGAATTGCGCTTGTTCAAGCACTCCCTCTGTTGTTGCAGCTTGGCATTCTGCTCCTGGTTCAGTTTGTTTCTTAGCTGAACAAAACAGGGACAGCAGGAGGAGGAGGTAGCCAAGGGGGAGGAAGAAAAAGCTCTTACCCGGAGTCCCTCGGGTCACTGTTACATAATTTCTAAGACTGTAAGGTCTCCTGCCCGCTCCCCGCCACTCTACCCCTCCTCTCCCCCCTCCTCCCCACCCCACTTCTCATCTCAAGGCTCCTAGTCCAGCTCTGAGGACTGCCTCCGATTTCCAGTGTGAGGGACTGGACAGTCTATTCTGGACTCGCTGGGGCTCGGGGCTTCCTCCCCTCCATCTCCTTAAAGGAAAAGACGGGGAAATCCAGCCCTTCCTGCCTTGCCGAAGGACAATCTGTGGCCGTGAGGGGGCTCTATTTGCGTCACGGCAGCCCGGTACCTGCAGCTCCTTGTACAGCCGATCGAGCTCGGCCACGGCGGACTGGTTGTCATGGTGGCCGTCGATCCTGCCGTTCTTGAGCATCTCAAGCTGCCTCGTCAGCTCCTCGACTTTGGACATGGCCAACACGAGCTCCCTCTGCTTCTGCTGGAACAGGCTGTTCATCTGCTCAATCTCCTCCACTGCGATGAGGAGGGGAAACGGCAGCCATCGGTGAAAAGAGAAACAAGAATGGACCACTTCCCAGGCGCCCAGCTTCCCAGCGAACTTTCCAACAAAAAGTGGAGGAATTTTCCAGACCAGTCTTACGGCTAACCTAGTGGTGTTTTGTTGTTGTTTTTTTAATATATCTTCGTTGATTTCAGAGAAGAAGGAAGAGGGAGAGACAGAAACGTCAACAATGAGAGGGAATCACTGATCGGCTGCCTCCTGTATGCCTCCCACTGGAGCGATGAATGTGCCCTGACCAAGAATCAAACTGTGGCCTCCTGGTTCACAGGTCAATGCTCCAACAGGCCCACACCCAGACACATCATAATCAAAATGCCAAACATTAAAGGAAAAGAGAGAATCTTTTAAAGGTAGCAAGAGGAAAGCAATTTGTTACCTACAAAGGCATTCCCATAAGGATGTCAGCTAATTACTCATCAGAAACTCTACAGGCCAGAGGGAATGGCATGAAGTATTCAAGGTAATAAAAAGAAGATCTGAAACCAAGATCACTGTATCAGCAAGGCTATAATCCAAAATAGGTGGTGAAATAAAGAGCTTCCCAAACAAAAACGGATAAAGGGAGATTGTCACCACCGAACCAGCACTGCAGGAAATGCTGCAGGGACAGCTGCAATGAGAAGACCTTACATGCATATGAGCACCATTATGCCCATGGACACAGACAACGGGGTGGTGAAGGCTTGGGGCTGGGGACTGGGTGGGCTAGAAGGGGCCAATAGGGGCGCGGGAAAGGGGGACATATGTATATTTCAACAATAAAGATTTATTTTTTTAAAAATCACTAAAATGTTAATGTAAATGATCACGTAACTGTTAGACCTATTCTATAACTAAAAAATCCTTGCCATCATCTGATTTGCAGTCAAAACATATTTAGAGAGAAAAAACTACAACGTTTTCCGAAGGTAATTTTAGAAACTTGTCTTAACATTCAACAACTCAACTCAATTCAGAGGAGCCAGTGACATCAAAATCACAGTGAATTTTACTTTCAAACATTCTTTTACAGTTATCTGCATACAGAGTCTCATCTTACTCCTCTCTGCTCCAAGTTTATATCGCCTTCCTACACCAATGTGTTCAACGTGCAGCCGTTGGAGCTGAGACAAACGGGGGGGCCACTCACCGAGCTTCCCGTTGCTCAGTCTCTTCTGCTCCACGTGGCCTTTGAGTGCTCGCACCTTCTTCAGCTTCGCCTCCTGGCTCTCCGCGATCTCTCTCAGCCTCCGGAGCTTCTCCTGCTCGGCGGCCTGCTGCTGCTGCCGCTGATCCTGCTGCTTCAGAAACTTCAGGCGCTGTTCCTACGGTGAACGCCACCATCAGGCTGTCTCTCTGCGAGCAGGGAGCCCACCGACCCCAAAGCAATCTAACCAGAGCCCCGAGGCGCCGGGGCCGAGGCGCACCAGCGCGCTGCTCTGCCCCAGACACGCCATCAGACCAGCGGGGCCCAATCCCAGAGTCCCTTAGGGGTGGGATCCCACTCCAAGTGGTTCTTGTGCAGCAAGCGAGCAGTGACCCTTGAACCACAGCTACGATGGAAGAGGGAGCTCGGGAAGCGGGGAGGCCGTCTCAGGAAGCTGCGAAGTAATAAGCTGTGTGGCGTCAAGTTTGGGATCAGATCTGAGCTCACCCTTTAGCTATGAGATCGCAGCAACTCACACAAGCGCACCGAGCACGTAAGTCTGTTTCTTCATCCATAAGGTGACCGATAACTACCTCCCAGGCCCCGTGAGGACGAAAGGAAATGTGAAATGTAACCCTCTTGCCGAAACCGGTTTGGTTCAGTGGATAGAGCGTCGGCTTGGGGACTGAAAGGTCCCGGGTTCGATTCCGGTCAAGGGCATGTACCTTGGTTGCGGGCACATCCCCAGTAGGGGGTGTGCAAGAGGCAGCTGATCAATGACTCTCTCTCATCGATGTTTCTAGCTCTCTCTCTCCCTTTCTGTACAAAATCAATAAAAAGAAAAAAATTTTAAAAAAAGAAATGTAACCCTTTTTGTGCCTTTCATCCTTCAGATCCAGTGCACTCAATAAACACGCTCCGAGTGGGGCCAACACGCCACCTACCACCTTCAGGAAACTGCACTATCAGTAATGAGGGTGCCCTGGGAGCAGCCGGCACACGCACGGGCACGCAGCCTGTCAGGCCTCTCACACAGACGTTACCTTCGTCGCCAGCATCTGCTGCTGCGCCTCTATCTGCTGCTGCTGGCGCGACGCCATCTCCTGCAGCTCGGCGAGGGTCAGGTCCATGCGAGGGCTATTCACCTACGGGGAAAGCGGCAAGCCCCGCCCGTGAGCGCACAGACGCCCGCGGGGGTCTGGCTGTGCTGTGCGCGAGCCTCGCCTGGACCCCTGGGGCACTGTCATGCAGCCATTTTCCTTCCGTGGTATTAGAGAGACCACTGACTTGTTACATCATCACTCCCTCCCCGTTGATTTATTACTAAGTTAAGGTATAAAACATACTCACATACAGACCAACACTTTTATTTTAAATAAAGTAAAATAAGATATTCTATTTTAAAACTATTTAAACTCAGTTTCAATAGTAACATCAGACGAGTGAGCGAAAGGGTAAGGGAGCGGCGCGGCGGTGCGCGCTCACAGGATGACAGGTCACTCACCCCGTTCTCCTTCCGCCGCTGGTCCCCCGGAACCTTCACGCCGTTTCTTTTCAGAGCGGGATCCTGAGGCCGCGGTCCACTCACTAAGCACACAAGTCAAAACCAAGCGTTAAATCAGAGCTGCAGACCCTCCGAGTGCATTTCTTAGTGCTGTGATCACTGCCCTTGGACATTTTAAGTGGGAAGGAAACTTTTCTTAGTTTGGGAAAGTACTAACTGGAAAACACTGTATTCTGTTTTGGCTAAAACGAACGTTTTAAGCCAAAATATATGGGTCTCTTAGCATCACTTAATGCATCATAAGGGAAAATAGTCTTAATTTAAACTGATACATTGTAAGAAACAAATATCAATGAACAGAATTTTTTATGTAAGTGAAATTAAGCTAATATTTCTACTTCCAGAAGTTAGAAAGATTATTAAATGTCTACTGAACCTGCCTAAAGCTTACCACCAACTCCCATTCCAGTAACACGATACCTTCAGAGCCAGAGGTCATGCCATCCCTAGTCCTACTGTGTTAGCTTTATTTATTTATTTTCTTACTTATCATATATTCTTATTGATTTCATAGAGGAAGGAAGAGGGAGAGATAGAAACATCAATGATGAGAGAGAACCATCGCTGGCTGCCTCCTGCATGCCCCCCACCGAGGATCAAGCAACTTGGGCATGTGCCCTTGACTGGAATCGAACCCGGGACCCTTCAGTCCACAGGCCAACACTCTATCCACTGAGCCAAATGGGCTAGAACCGTGTTACTTTATTTTTAAAACACTGTTCAATTCTCTGAGAAAATAGCCCCAGGAATCGGTCACACTACTTCTGCGAGAAAAATAAACCTAGGTTTAGGAACAACTGCTGTCTCCGCTGCCTCGAAGGCAGTCCCACCAATGCACACCACCACCACCACCACCACCACCACCACCACCACCCCCGCCAGTGCAGTTCCATAGATAGCGAGCTAGGCAAGAGCTTCAAACCACACCCATTCTGGGTCCCAGGCCCGAGCAAAACTGGAAAAAGACCACAGTCTCAGCCTCCTAACCTACAATCCAGCCGCCCCCACTGAGCAGGTCCACACCGAGTGAAGGACACGGCCCAGCAGCCCTGTCCTACCCAAGTCAGACACCATGTGGCACTGGAGCGTGTGACAACGGGAAACGGCTCCTCCGCCTCCGTCCGCGTCTCACGTTACAGACACACCGACACCGCACAGCACCCTATCGCGAGGCCGTTCAATAATTCAGCCCCGGCTGCACGGCCGGACATCTGAACTGGCAGGCGAGTGGGTAACGTCCAGCCATTTCTCAGCAGAGGAGGCGTGCAGAACAAAGAACGAATAAAAGTGAGATGCAGGTGCCAGTTAAAACCACGAAGAACGGTTAGGGAAACAATAGGTGCTCATTTAAATTAGAACCACGGGCACTGTCACACCGCACAGCACCAGCCCGCCCGGCAGAGGTGACGGAGTCCCGCTGGCTCTGTGCTGGGTGTGTGGCCTGACAGGTCACCGAGCCCCAGGGGTCACCTCCTCCTCTGCGGAGCGGCCAGACAAGGCCACCGTGAGCTCCTCCCTGTCCGACCTTGGTAATTCCTCGTTGCGGGACCCTCTGGATTTCTGAATTCCCAGTAAAGCCAGAGAACTGAGACTGTGGGACATCCAATGACGAACATGTTACCTAGTCTTACTCCCAAGAATTATGTACCAAAGTCACAAACCCTCAGCTTCCCATTGTGAAAACTCCAACAGTCTTAGAAATACCTCGTGATCGCCTCCACGGGCGCCTACCCACGGAGCACAGAGCCGCCCACGGAGCACAGAGGCTGCTCACCCTCCCACATCCTCCGAGACCTGCCCACATGGCGGTGACGTGTAGCCTGCTGCTTCTCCACGGCCATGACTGCCTCCTGCCCTCTCCTCGCGTCATCAAACCCTGGTCACAGCCTCTTCACGAGAGGTGAGCACCTGACTACCATGTTCTGCCCAGGCCAGCCCTGCCCGCACCTGCACGACGGTCCCAGCCACAGCCAGGCTCCGGGCGCTGGGTTCCTCACCTGTCCCCCGCTCCAGGCCCCTTTCATGGCCAACCTGGAACCGGGTCCCTGGAAGAGCTTCGCCTGGAATCCTACCTCCCAGCCTTCTGCTGTGACCACAGCTCCTCTCACTCACCCTGCACGGACCTGAGACGTGTCACCTCTAACCCCTGGCCGCCCTTCCCCTCAGCCCTTCCATCCTCACTTCTTCCCCAGCTTAGACGCTGTCTTGCCAGTGCCCGCTCCCCCCTCAAACTACCCGGTTCCAGGCCGATGCCTGACACACAGCTCCGATCCTGCTGCTGCCCCCGGGGTGCACCTACCCAGGTCCCGGCCCGGGGGGCGCTCGTGCCGCAGGAAGAACCGCACTTCGTGCCTCTGGCTCCCGAACCTTTGCAGGACGTCGAACATCCGCTCGTTATCGGCCACGGGGCGTTCTGGAAGGAAGACAAACACACGTGTTATCTATCCTGCGTGCACATGACATGCTGGGACTGTAGGAAACACACGGCAGCTGAGGTCATGTGTTTCCATTACAGGGCCCCTTAGAAAATTCCCACACATGCCAGTGTCGAGCCCGGGGGGAGGCCTGGGCCTGGGCCTGGGCCGGCTGGAAGGAGCCGGGGCCGACCTCACTCCGTGGGCCCCTCACTGGCCATCAGCCGGCCCCGTAGCCAGCCCCCGGGTTTCACAGGTTTCCGTCATCTCCTACACGGGATGCTCTGAGGTCCCTTCTAACTCCACTGGTTCTAGATATATTAAACCAAAAATGTATAAACAACTTTCTAAATAGCCTCGTCTTACTCTCTACTAGACTTTTTAAATTATCATTTTAAAAACTGTTAAAAAATTAGCTGTATCCACTGCCCAATGTCAGGCTGCTGACTGCACTGCAAATACATCCACGTGGCCCCTCCAGTGAACGGCTACTTGTCTGGACTTTTCTAGAGATAAAAAGAAGGGCCCAGCTAAACACCCTAATAGATGGGAACCTCGGGAGAGACCAGATACCTTGAGCTCCCCTCAAAAAACCTCCCAACCCTGACTCATGTGTCATCTATGCACCAAAGGGCTGCAGGTTCGAGTCCCAGCCAGGGCACATGCCAGCTTGCAGGTCCCATGCCCAGTCAGGATGCACGCGGAGGCAACCGATGGGCATTTCTCTCCTCCTGCCGACGTCACTGCAGTTACCACGCCGTGTCCTAAGCATCTGCTGAACCTGCTTCTACTCGACAGCAGCAAACGTATCTGTCTCCCTCCCCATCGGTCCCAGGCTGTAACAGGAATCTCAGAAATGCTCTCTACACAAACACTGACAGGCGGCAGGGAAATGAGATGGCAAAACAAAGCTCCTCGCTGTAAAAAGGTTGTCAGTGAACGAAAATTAGAAACTTGAGGAGCTCACAAAAATCAAAGTGATATATTTACTATTTGTTAAATAGGACACTTGGGACCATTTATAGCAAGGGGGGGGGGTGTAAAACATCACAGCTATGACTGAGAGCTAATACTAAATGCACCGAGCTACGTGAAGCCCCCTCCCCCCACGCGTTATCTCCTGGAATCCTCACTCAATCCTGTGAGAGAGGTTCAGCTATGATCCCAATTCGGTAGGTAAAACACTGGAGAATTACAGAGATTAAGGGCCCGGCCTTCCATCATAAAGCCGGTAAATGTCAGAGCCAGGATTTCAATACCCAAGACTTCGTTCTTAATCACACCTTACAAACAACCGTCAAATTAATTATGAGTCATTGCAACCAATCAAAACCCCAGCAGAACGGCTCCCGGAGCCTTTCCAAGTAAGTCTAACGTATATCTACAAGCATCGCTCAGGAATTTTTTAAAAAATCAGAATGAAATAAGCCCCTGCCTTACTGATACCCAATAAGTTAGAAAAATATAGTTATTATAACTGGCTGCACCCCCAGCGGGGAAAGGGGGACCCGTGAGCTCACCCAGGTTGGCAGGAACAAGCAGAACTCGGGAAAAATTACTCCCAGGTCTACAAATCCCTAAGGGGCCAAAGAAACCAGGCCGCCCCACTTCCGAGCTGCAAAGAACCACACTGAGGGACTGACTTCAAGGCTTCATACACTGAGTGGCCAGATGATGATGATCTCTGAACGCATAATAATCTGGCCACTCAGTATATATATATTAGAGGCCCGGTGCATGAATTCGTGCATGGGTGGGGTCCGGCCAGCCTGGCCAGGGGGAGGGGACATGGGCGGTTGGCCGGCCTGCCTGCTGGTCCAACTCCTGGTCGAGGGGACAGTTTCCATATTAGCCTTTTATTCTATAGGAGATCATAATAAGCTGGCCACTCAGTGTTTAAGGCCTATGATTTCACCACAGTAATCAACACTGAGCAGCTCTGCCTAAAAGCCTACCAAACCTTAGCGAGGGCAAGACGGTCAGGAGGCCTCACGTTTCCAACCTGGCAGAGCCTCGGCATTCAAAACCCTGGGAGCACCCCGGCCGCGCCCACCGGTGTGCCAGCTGCCTGCCCTCTGACCTTTCCTCTGGTGTGGCCACTGGGATGCAGAGAGAGAACAGAGACGTCCTTTGTCACAGCAAAGCTGGAAGGAACGTGTCCCCTGACGGACACGCTGCTCTCCGGCTCCTGGGTGGGAAGCGTGAGCACCCCGCCCCGTCCAGGAGCCATAAGAGGCCGTAACCGAGCACGGGTCGCCGGGCCCGCCCACCTGAGCCACACCACACTTCGGCCAGATGGCAGTCGCTCTCGCCGGGCTCCTTGCACAGGTCCACCACGTCCCTGCATATCGTTTCTGGGGTCACGGGGACTTCGGTAAAGTGCTGCTCGTTGTTGCTGAGGTACACGGTAAGAAACATCTGGAAACAGAGAGAAAGCACAAGCGTTACCGACTGCCCGCGCTGGCCGTGCTCGCCTTCGCCTCCCGCCCCCAAACAGGCCCCGGTGCAAATGTCCAGCGAACAGCCCGGCCAGCTGTCACGCCACAACGTTCCTGACCTTGCAGACAAACAGGCCAGCAGAGGATTTAAATCTAAAACTCATTAACAATCTTCTGCCCAGTAAAAATAGACATTGCACCTTAAAAAAAGAATGCAAGTTTTCACACTATTAAATTACAAAAAAAAAGAAAGAAAGAAAGAAAGAAAGAAAAATGCTGTTAATTCTCAGTGCTGCAGAAGCAAATTGTTGATGGCAATGCCAGTCAGTAAACCCTACGGCTCATTCAACTCACTATGTGCATGCAACTCAATGAGCACCTACTCAGCGCAAATCAGTATGCATCAGGAATAGAAGAACAAACCATTTGTAATCCCACTGTAACACTTTATCTTATGAAAATAATCAAAGATAGAGCATGCCAAGGCTCTGGACCATGAGCCTGATGGACCATTATGCAAAAATAATTAGTGAGGCTCTACGGGATTTGGGGGAAGTTTGGGTCTTAAGGCTATAAAAGCAGAAGAGTAAGAGCTGCACTGAGATCACAATAACACGAGACCATCAGTCAACAGCCACACGACTGCCCCTTCCAGCTGACCCGCCCGCCCGTCACCCCAGCGCTGAGAAGGCAGCGTCCCGTTAGGGCTGGTGGCGGAAAGCGGCTAAGACGCCGACTGGATGCCCCAAGGATTTGGCCGAAGTGGGGAGAGAAGACGTGACATGAGGAAGTGGGGGGAAGGGGAGGTGGGGGGAGGACACAGGGCCGGGAGGAACTGGCTCATCCCTGGGAGCTTCCTGGCTCCTCCTCGCAGAAAAACCAACTTTTCTTAAGGGAATCCAAGTCTCCACTTCTTGTAGCTAAAGCTCTGAACCCCATAAAGGTGGAAAACACAGGAAGTAACCTAGAGCCCTGGCAGTTGGGCTCACTGGGTAAAACAGCTGTAGTTCCCATGTGAGGTCAGAACCCGCCAGCCAATGACACCAAGTTACACAGAGATACACGGTTCTAGGCCTCCGCTTGGCCGACAAGCAGCACTTTGGAATTGTTACACAAAAACTGCAAAGTATGAGACAAATAACAAAGATGAACTAAACTCACGGAATCCTACCGGCTGCTGCTCTGGCAAACGTGTAGCCAGTGTATTTAGTGACAGGGATAAACCATTCACACCTCAGTATGACACGGGACATCTCTCCTCCATCTTCCCCACCCAGACCGAAACGTTTTCTGGAGTTCAACTCTTCAAGAAGTCACTGTTCTCCCCGTAAATAGGAGACCTGGGTGTCTATGAATACAGAAATACTTACTAGACAGTCCGCCTACTGAACACAAAGGCCCAACACATAACCGGTTACCTAAGACTGGCACCTCACCGGGCCAATGCCAGTGCTGGCACACACCGTCTCAGAAACGCACCTCGGGGCTCAGTGGGCAGCCCAGGCGCTGCTGTGTTCTCTCTCTACATAAATCCTTTAAAGAGGACCCGGAGAAGTGACCTGCTTAGCTGCTGGAGGAGAGGGTCGGGGTACAAGTCTGTTCTTCTGATCCAGCCTCCACCCTGTAAGCTGTCCACGGAGCGGCTCTATTGAACCCAAACTGGCATAGAGATCGGGGCTTCCACTCGCTGGGAAACCACAGCTTTGTTTCTTTAAAAGCGCAATTACAAAAGTACGAATGACGAGGTGCGTTCTGCTTACGATTACTATCCCCCCAAAGCCCCAGAATTAACACTGACGTGACCCATCTCTACCTCGTCTGCATGCAGGGCAGCTCCGGGTGACGGTCTGAGGCTCTGGGTGCCGGGCTGGCAGTGTGACCTGCCTCCGGTGCCGGACCCCAGATTTGTTAATGATTAGACAACCTGAGGGAAATAATATCACCTCCCGAATCTCAGCCTCCCCGTCTTCAAAATAAGAGTCTGTAAGTTCCCTAAGAGCCACCACTATTTCAGGTGTTTATTCGGTGTCAGAGTAAAAGCCAGCATGTTGACACCAGCCTGCAAGCTGGACGTCAGCAATCCAGGCATGACACGAGGCAGATTTGACAGAAGACAGGAGGTATGACTCAGTGAGGGTGTGGGAACTGGACAATCCAGTGACTAGCGAGAAAGTCAATTCAGGAAGAAGCCAGGCTACTCTGTTGTGACTATGACAGCAGCTGGGGAGGGGAGGGGGCAGTTTGTTTTGGATTAGCTGCCTGATCCTGCCCACACCACCCCTGCCCCCCTCCCCTCTCAGCCTTCATCTCCTGATCCCCTGCTGCTCCTCACACGCGGGCACGCTCCCCGTCAGGGCCAACCACTTCCGCTCCTGTTTGCAGTGTCCCTCCCTGGCCACCTGCTAATGCCACTTCCCTGCCTTATGCCTCTTCTTGGACAGCCGCTGACATCGTATATCTAATCGTTAGTTATTTCACGTGTTTTTATTATGTCTTCCCTACTAAAGCAGGCCAGGGTTTGTCTGTTCCATGTGCTACCCTCGGCACCAGGAATGTGCCTGGTATGAAACAAGGAAGCGGTAAGTGTTTGTTTATGATTAATAAATTCTTTAGCGCTGACTGCAGTTCACAGATTTGCCTCTGATTGAGTTTCCCACTAAGTGTTCTTTCCGCCCGGTAAATGCTACAGCGGACGGCACAGCTAGACCTGCGAGAAACCAGTGTGTCCCTCCTCTTTTCTCCAGCTTCTAGCATGGCTTTAACCAGTCCTCCCACTTGTCTCAACGTTCTTCATTCATCACTATTTATAAGCCACCATCTTAAGATCTAAGTTTGAATAGAATTGATCATCACCAAAGAGCTAAGCCAGCACACAGCACAGCATTGGAGAGGGACAGAGCTGTGTGGAGAGGGACACGGCCGGGCCCCATGGAGGGAGCGAGTCCATCAATGGCCCTCACGGCTCCCCCCTCATCTGTCCCCCACCTCTCTCCACTGGTCACTCACAGCGGTCAGGTGGCCTGGGAGCAGTCTTGTGGAAATGAACCTTGGGCAGGAAGCAGGGTGGGGAAGGTGGAGGGGGGTCTGGAGGGCAAGCGGAGGTGCAGTGACTCCCATACCTGCCAGGTCAGGGAGGGGCCCGGGCATCAGCTCACCCGAAAGAGCGCAGAAGCCTGGCTGTCCCAGGCAGAGGGACCAGCTGCTGGAGAGGAAGGACGGAGTCGGTCAGGTCTGTGGACGAGGAAGGTCACTAGAGGGAGCACAGGGAAAGGGTTCCAGATCCCGAAGACGTTAATTCAGAGGCTGGATCCTGCAGGACTGTGAAGGCCACGGGTCCTCACTTCAGTGGGGACAGAGCTGCTCATCACAGGTGCTGGGCCAGCCCGAGCTTCCGATTCAGCAGATGGGGAGAGCCTGCGATTCTACATTACTGTGTGTGCATGTGTGTGTGTGTGTGTGTGTGTGTGTGTTTTACTGTGTTTTTTTTTAATAGATTCTGCATTTCCAAGACGCTCCCCTGTGATGCTGACGCTGCTGGCCCACAGCCCACAGCTGAGAACCGTGGTTCTAAGGCCCCAACAAGAATCTGGATTCTAATCTAAGGGGGGGGAGAGCGGAGCACTAAGAGGCAGAGCAAAGGATGGTTGCCAGAGGCTGAGGGACTTTTTTGGGTGATGAAACGCTCTGGGGTTGGAGAGGACAGTTAACAAACAGCCTCTGAGGGGACTGAAGCCACTGAACTGCACAGTTGACAACGGGGCGGGGACGGCCCGCGGGCTGGGCTGAATGAGGCCCCGGAAACCCTTGGGTCTGGCCCTGCCAAGGCATGAGGGGTGAGTTAATGCAATGTGTCACCCATGCAGCAGGCTAGCTTTTAAGGTGAAATCCTTTATGGCCTGAGAATGATGTGATAAATATCCAATGCCCCCGCCCACCGCCCACCGCCTCACAGGGTGAATTTTGTGATATATGAATTGTATCATCACTTAAAAGGCCCACTACATGCTGACTGTGTGAGAGAGAGCCATCTCTTAAGGAAGGTAAATTGACCCATGGGAAAGTCAGAGAACAACCTAGTACTAATTTGCATGAATGAGACTTGTCGGTCAGGTGGGAATTCAGAAATGGGGGGAAGAGAAACGCGATCTGAGACAGACTGAAGACAGCCAAGAGGCGTAAACGAACGGAAAACATAAAAACTAACCTACAGTAACCCTCCTTCCAAAATGCCATCTTTCCCGGACACCTGGAGCCCTCATACACCGTCACACCCCGCGTCCCAAGGAAACAGACGGGACCCATTCGCTCCTTTCGCATGCGGAGCAGCAGACCGGGTCCCTGGTGAACTCCCGGGGAGAGGCTGGGGGAGCGGGATTATTCTCTCTGACTCCAGCTGCAGCGATCGTGCCTGCGAACAGCTGAGCTCAGTTCTCTCCGTCACGACGAGGGCGGCAACCATCGGATCAAAGCAACGTCCAGCTTCCCGGGGGCGCTGGGCGCCTCGCTGGACATGGAGGAAGCTACTGGGGGCTGCGCTCTCCCTCCCTCCCGGGCAGAGGCGCCGGGTCAGCCCTTGTCAGCGACTTTAAAGCGCCAACTTCCCAACTGCAGGAAGAGATCAATCCATCAAACACAAGCAAGCGGGAGGAGGAGATTGCTAAATGGTTCCCCATCAGTGTGACCTGAAGGAGGGTCTTTCACCTCTCACCCTGGTGATGGAGGCACCTCGGTGACTTTCCTACCCCCTAAGCTTCCTTAGAGACCTCAGCCCCCACCTGGGGGGAAGAGGGGGGTAATTACCTTTGGTATGTGGGTGCTGGCTAGTCTGTCTCTAACCGGGCTCGAAGGTGATGACGGAGGAAGGAAAGAATCCGAGGTGGACTGGTGCAGGGAGGTGTGGAGGGTGGGAAATCGGAAAGCTCCCCGTGAGTCCCCAGCCCTTTCAGAGGCTCAGGTGGGGCAGCAGGGGCCGGAGGGATGCCCACTGCTGGTGGGACATCAGATGGGGTCTCCGCTCGTGCTCCTGTGCAGTAGGGCGTAGTGATTCCATCTGATGGGATGGATCTGTTGGACACACACCGGAGGCTGATGGTGAATGAAATCAGAGTCACTGCTCTTCACTCCTCCTCATTGGCCTGCGGGTTATTTATGGGTGGCCTTTTGGGGCATCTGTTCACAGGTATTTACAAACATTCTCAATGAAAACCTGACTCTGTTATCATCCAAACAAGTAATGTGGTTTGGGATAGATTTTATGTGGACAAACAAAACTAAAAGCGACCCCAGTGGCCAGTTGGTGGAGTTGCTTCTATGTTTAGGATTTGCATTTCTTTGACAAGATGATTTATAAGACAGAATGCGAAGTGTTTTAAGAACCACTGTCCCCCTAATACTCAGTGCTCCTGAAGGATCTCCTAATGACTAAAATTTCTTGGCTCTCCCCAATGAGATGTAAATTTTTTAAAGATTTTTAAAAAAATAGATTTTTAGAGGGAGATGGGAGAGGGGAAAGGAAAGAGAAGAGAGGAGCAAGAGGGGAGAGGGAAGAGGGGAGCAGAGAGAGGGAAGAGAGGAGAGGAAAGAGGGGAGAGGGGAGAGGAAAAAAGGGAGAGGGGAGTGGGAGAGAAACATCGATCACTGCTGAAGCCTATTATGACTTCGGCTCATGCTCCCACCCAGATGTAATTCCTGAGGCCATTCCTCTGCTTTTTAAACCTTCATCAATCATTAGTACCCTGAGTTCCATCTACCAATGTTCTATTAAGAGCCAATGACATTTTTAAAATTGATTTTTAGAGGAAGGGAAAGGGAGAGAGAGAAATATCTATGTGAGAGCAAAAACAGTGATCAGCTGCCTCCTGCACGCCCCCCAACTGGGGATTGAGCCCATAATCCAGGCACGTGCCCTGATATGGGAATCGAACCGGCAACCTTTTGGTGCACAGGACAATGCCCAACCAACTGAGCCGCACCTGCCAGGCATGCGATGTAAAATGTCAACGTCTCACCTAGCACTCCGGCATAAGTCTACATCTCATACCCAGCTGCCATCATGCTTTCTTTTCTCTGTTACTTTGATGACAGAATGTTCTGTTGAGTACCTAGCACACCATCCAGAAAAACAACCGCTTCAGTAACGTTTGGATGAAGTGGCAGGACCTGAAAGAACATTCCAGATTCGACTCTTGCATCCCACCCTTAGTATTCTCAGTAGAGAAGGTTGGTGAGGTTTATATAATACTAGTACCTACGGGAAGCCATACCCACGTGTATCTGTACTCAGTTACCCTGTTTGAGCTGACGGGCTCAGTGCCCAGGGAGCCTTAGGAAGACGGTGTAGAGAGGGCCATCCACTACGGTAGATTACCCGGAGATAAAGGGCTATGGTATTCCTTAAAAATCCCAGAGGGCACTAATTGGTTTGGCGCTGTGGATAGAGCATCAGCCTCCGGACTGAAGGTCCTGGGTTCGATTTTAAGTCAAGGACACATGCCTGCAGAAGGCAGCTGATCAATGATTCTCACCAGTGATGTCTCTCTCTCTCTCTCCCTCTCCCTTCTTCTCTGAAATCAATAAAAATATGTTTAAAAAAAAAAAACCTCCAGAAAGGAAAAGTTTTGTTTTGTTTTTACCGCCTGCTTTTGGGGGACAGAGGACATGAAGTGGGGGAAGCAGTTCCTCCTAGAAGCAGCGTCTGAATAAAGGACACTCTATATCCCTTCCAGATTATTCCAAATTATTTTTTTAAGATAATCAGCTGTACACTTATGCAGTCTAAATTTGTGTTGGTTGGTTTTTTTTTGGGGGGGGGGGGGGTTTTGGTGTTTTTTTTTTTTTTTTTTTAACAGGTAAAACTACAGAAAAATTTAAATGCTTTTTGGCTTTTAATTAACACAGAAGTCCCAAGGCAACAAATTTCACTACAGCACATGAAATGTGAGATACCTTGCACATTTTTTTTTAACGTGTGATTTATTCAGCAGCCTTTAGGAATTACAATTTTATACAGAACCTACCTTAAACTTGATTCTGGAACGAAACTTAAGCTAACTTGCTATATTACTACTCAGCCACAAGAAGGAATCCTTTCAGCATATGGTATAGTCATACAAATACAATATTGCAAAGCTAGAACTTGAAAGCTTTTTTCAAAATATATTTTTATTGATTTCGGAGAGGAAGGGAGAGGGAGAAGCAGAAACATCAATGACGAGAGAGAATCATTGATCGCCTGCCTCCTGCACGCCTCCTACCAGGGAATCAAGCCAGCAACCCGGGCATGTGCCCTGACTGGGAATCAAACGGTGACCTCCTGGTTCAGAGGTCGACACTCAACCACTGAGCCACACCGGCCGGGCTCAGCATTTCTGTATCTCTCTCCCTCTCCCTTCCTCTCTGAAATCAATAAAAATATATTTACTACTAATTTTTGAAAAAAAGCTGAGAGATGAGAAATATATTTAAGAAAAGTCTTATTTGCAAGTACACAAAATATTACAGGATAAAGACACACATAACATGAGGTTACTAAATGTAAATGGTTCCTATGTTTATGTACTGCAAGGGTAAGAACCTCAGTTTGAGTGGGGCAGGTGTGGGCTAGAAGGGGTCAGTGGGGGAAAGAAAGGCACATCTGTAATAATTTCAACAATAAAAATAAATCTGAGAGAGAGAGAGAGAGAGAGAGAGAGAGAGAGAGAGAGAGAATATCGGTTTAGCCAATACTGTAAATCCAGGAGAAGCTCTTACCTAGCATCTATTCAAAGCACGGCACTGAACTAATTGCCTCATAAACAGTAATTCTAATCCTCACCACCACCCAAAGGGTGCAGGACTGTAATTATCCCCATTTTACAGGTGATGAAACTGAGGGAGGATGGAGGAAAACAGAAGAAAAGCCTCTGGCCACAGAGGTAGTAGCTGGGCAAACACTAAGGGTTAGTCTGGCTTCGGAGGTGGTACACGAGCCACCACACCACCCTGAGTCCTTCCGCTAAAACTCTCCTGGCAGTAGGAAGGCGATTGGGAGAACCAGACTGCTCAATGTAACGTAGTTTCAAGAGCTACATTACTTTTTACAAATTGGTTGGGAGGAGGAAACAAAAGTCTTAAGAAAGCCCAAAGGATAGCTGGGCATAAAACCGATCTTTAAGAAATCACACAGCAAGCACCAACACTCGCCTTGGTCCTATTTTTAGGAAAAATGCACAAACAGCCAGCCAGAGTTATTTCGAGACAAAGAAATGTAAATCCCAGGAATTAAACATTTTAACCGCAAAGTCCTTCCCCCTGGTTCTCGGTCTGTATTGATTGGGCATTCTGACATCACAAACTGACTTCATAACCAGGCAATAAACTAAAATAGGCCTGAGCCGGTTTGGCTCAGTGGATAGAGCATGGGCCTACCAACTGAAAGATCCCAGGTTCGATTCTGGCCAACGGCACAAGCCTGGGTTGCGGACTCAATCCCCAGAAGGGGCAGGCAGGAGGCAGCCGATCAATGATTCTCATCATTGATGTTTCTATCTCTCTATCCCTCTGGGCCCTTCCTCTGTAAAAACAATAAAAAAAAAAATTTTTTTTTTCAAAACTAAAATAGGCCGAAACCGGTTTGGCTCAATGGATAGAGCGTCGGCTTGGGGACTGGAAGGTCCCGGGTTCGATTCTGGTCAAGGGCATGTACCTTGTTGCGGGCATGTCCCCAGTGGGAGGTGTGCAGGAGGCAGCTAATCGATGACTCTCTCTCATCGATGATTCTAACTCTCTATCTCTCTCCCTTCCTCTTTGTACAGAATCAATAAAATATATTTTTTTTAAAAACCAACTAAAATAGGATGCACATTGCTATTAACACTTTCAAATTCCTAGACTCCTGGCAGGACCAAATATCACAAAAGGATCTAAACTCAATGATCGATTGCAATCAATTCAGCTTGTCCCCCAACAGGAAAGTTTAGGACACCCTCCCAGGGTCCAAGGAGAGGGAGCAGGGGACAGAATAGTGAGACTCTGCCTCTGTGACTGCAGATAAAACAAAATGTGAGGTCGCTCCGACCCGCAGACTTGTCTAAAAGCTGTTTCTCTGAACAAATGCCGACGTGATGCTGCTGTGCAGCCTGCATAAGCCACTTGCAACCCTCCGGGCGGGCGGGCGGGCGGTGCGCGACCTTTGCAGGAAGCAGGCATTTCATTTCCAAAATGCCTCGATCGACCCTGCTGACCCCTGTGGCCTGGCGGCCAGGTCCGACCGGAGCCCGCGGGGCCGGGGACTCATCGATCCTCCCGCAGCCAGCGGGCACAGGCATTTTTTTACTGCGACCAAAAAAACCCTTTGCGTTTGCATTTACTAAAACCAGTTCTCCAGCAACAGACCGAGCGGCTGGGCTGCTGCTCCTGCCGATCCCGAGATCGAAATGCAATTCAAAAGCAAGCCAGGAGGGCACTCTTTCCAGGAGGTGTATTCGCTCCAACGAAAAGTTGTTTGGGGTTGCGCTTTTTTTTTTTTTTTTTTTTTTTAGACAAAAGCAATAAGATTCCCGTTTTCCCCGTGGTTTCCCTGTGTGACCTCCGAGCACTGCAGAAGCTCCGGACCCCGCCGGAGAGAAAAGGAAAAGTTTGAGCGGCTGCTCGGGAGCGGTGGCGGGGACCCTCCTCCCGCACGCGGCCCGGGGACCGGGGGGACCGGCGATGGGAACCGGAGCCTGGAGCCGCGGCCGCTCCCTCCCCAGGTCCCGCCACGCGGGCGCAGGCCCCGGGATCCGCTCGGACCCGACCCGACCCCCCACCCGCGACCGCGCACACTTCCGGGCCTGCTGCCCCGGCCGCCCAGCCCGCCTGGCCCACTCACCGGCATCATTTTGGACCCGAACCGCATCGAAGCGGGCGGCCGGCGGCGGCGGCCCGGAGCTCGGCGGCGGCGCCCGGGGGTCGCGGGGCGGGGGAGGGGCGCGCGGAGCGAGGCCGCCCCGGAGGCGGCGGACCTGTTGCGAGGAGGCGGCGGTGGTGGCGGCGGGACGGCGCGGGGTCCGCACAGCCCTCCCGCCGCTGGGGCGCCTCGGAGCCCGGGCCCGACCCCGCGGGGGGCTCCGGACGCGGCTTTGTCTCCTCGGCGCTCGCGGCCGCGGGGCTGCCTCCTCCGCTCCGAAACCAACTCACCCGGGCCTGGCCCCCGCCGAGCCCGCGCCGGCCCCGCCCCCGCGCGGCCCCGCCCCCGCGCGTGCGCGCGTCGGGGGGGAGGGGAGCGCGCGCGCCTGCGCGGGGCAGGGCGGGCGCGCGCCTGCGCGGGGCGGGGCGCGCGCTCGGGGCGGCGTCCTTTCCTGTCCCGGCGGCGCAGGACGTGCGTCGGGGGCGCGCGGCAGACCGCCAGGGAGCGCGCACCTCCTGGCGGAGCTGGGGGTTTGGGGGGCGGCGCCTCGGGAAGAGGGGGAGCTAAGGAAGACCCCCGAGGAGCAGAGGGCCGGCACCTCCCCTTGCACCTCCCGACAGGGCAGGGGGTGGGACCCTTGGCCTCGGGGATGCCCGGGCCCAGCCTCGGCGCCTGGGCCCCTCGCGGGAGGACCTGTCGGCCCCCCTGGACAGCCGAGCTTCCCCGAGGCCGCGCGGACCGCCCCGTCCAGCAAGATGGAGATTCGCGGCGGAGGCCCTGCCTGCAGGGAGGTTCTGGGAGGGGGGAAGGAGCTCCAGCCTTTCCTCTCATTGGCCGCGGCCCAGATGCACATTTCAAACTCCCGTGTGACTCTGTGGTAATTTGCACACAAAAAAGGACGCTTTAAAAAATGACTCGTGTAATGTTTATACTTAATCGCAATAAAAATGAATGCATAAAGCCCGCCGAGAGGTTAAAAATGTGCAAAGCAGCACTCTTAACGGAGCTTTGCTGCTGCTTAGGGATACCTTGGATTTGTACCATCCTCCTCCTCCGCGGGGAGCGAAGGCCCGGGAACGGCGGCGGCTGGAAAAGTAGCAGAGCTGGTTCTGGCACCCGGGGCCAACCCTCCAGAGAGACTCCGGGAACCCCCACTGCCTGCCGGAGCAGCTTTCCTCCTGCTCAAATCCCCTGCAGGCCCACTCAGAGGCACTGGACTTATCCAGCTTCAAGAATGGACAATCCTCTCCCAGTCTTAACAAACCCCAAGCCAGAAGCTCCATCCAACTCCAGACTGCACCATCCGGCTACATATCTGGAAATATTCAGCGACGGCTAAATCATTGAGAATGCAAAGTTCTCCAAAACTTTAGTTTATAAAATCTTGTTATTCTAAGAGAATTGTCCTGAGTGAAGTAAAAGGGAATCAATCCCTTCATTGGTTCCACAAATATTCACCGAATACCTATGCTATGTTGGGTATTCTATGTATTGGAGATTCATTCATGATGAACCAAAAAAAAAAAAAAAACAACAAAAAAAAACTGGGTGGGCAATAAAACCAATAGCTAAGTAAATTAATACTCACATAAATTACCAAGTAGAGTTATAAGGAGGGAAGCAAGTTGCTGGGAAGAGGAGATCATGTTAAATTGGAGAATCTTAATAAAAATAAAAACTCTCATCCTGGAACTAAGCATATTTGTGGGAAGCAAGACCCCCATCATCATCATCATCATCATCATCATTATTATATTATTTTGGCAACCTGCAGCTCATAAAGGGACTAGTTAGCACCCAAAAACCAGCTTCATATTCCACTGGTTTTCATTACTTTTGTGCACACAAGGAAATCTCAAGCAACCTAAACATCATCCACATTCATCCGGAAAAAGAATTCCAGATACTGGTCATGATGCCTCTAGTTCTCAACAATAAAAAACAGACCTCTTTGCCGCCTGAACTCTGAAATATTAATTGTCACGCACGATAGTACATTATATCCAGTGTGAGGCCTGGCAGCCCTGGCTTACTAACCAAACAATTCCGATAGAAATAGAAGCAAGGAGAGAGAAATTGGGGTTTCTTTCTTTTCTTTTCTTTTTTTTTTTTTTTTTACTGCTTGTCTCACAGATGACCCATCGCCCGAGGAGAGGGGGAGAGAGAAGGGACAGTAGCTGGCACTCTGTCCCGAAACTCACTTCCAGCCAATTGAGAATTCCCCGCTGCCAAAGAGCAGGTATGTTTATGTTGAGGGTTTTGTTTTCTTTTCCTCTCTCTCTCTCTCTCTCTCTCTCTCTCAATCATAGAAGCGTGAAACAAACAACAAAAAACCCTGTCTAAGCTTTGGTCGCATTCCTTAAATTCTGCGCCATTCACAGAAGGCTCTCCGGTGGGTGGTTTTCCCCCTTCCACCTGCTTAGTCTGTCTAGAGCCTCTATAATTCTGTAACCAACCCCACGAAAGAGAAGCCCAATTACCACCAGCTGGGCGGGAGCCCTCTTCTCTGTGGACCTCACCTCACCCCCAGGCACATACAATTAATGACGTTTGTCTTAAGTGCGGGTGTTGGAGTCCCCAGCTTTCTCCCCATTTCCCACAGGTGTTCCAAATGATGTGTTCCTCTCCCCTTTTAGATCACCTCCCGCCTTCCTTAGCCCATAACGTAGAGGATGTGGGGCTTTTGCTCCTGCCGTTCATCCCCCCCTAATAATTAATAGTAATTTAAAAATTACTATTATTTATCAATAATAATAAAAATATTCGTACTTTTACTAATACTCTTGTGTGTCTGTATTTTGTCCTAGATTCTGGAGAGAACACAGTTATTGTGCCACTTATTTATGCATTCATCGGTTGCTTCTTGTCTGCCCAGTCTTACTGGAACACATCTTACTGTGTACATATTGGCTGTGGCTGCTTTCACGCCTTAGCAGAGTTGAGTGGCTGGAGTAGAGGACTGTGTGGCCTGCAAAGCCTAAAAGATTTACTCTCTCTGTGCCCTGGCTGGGTTGGCTCAGTGGATACAGCGTTGGCCTCCTGCGGACTCAAGGATCCCAGGTTTGATTCCGGTCAAGGGCACCTGCCCAAGTTGTGGGCTCATTCCCCAGTGGAGGGCATGTGGGATGCAGCCAATCAGTAATTCTCTCTCATTGATGTTTCTCTGTCACTCTTCCTTTCCCTTCCTCTCTGAAATCAATAAAAATATTTTTTAAAAGAAAATAAAATAAAATTGATAATTAAAAAAAAAAACTTACTCTCTGGCTTTTTCAAGAGGAAGTTTGCTTGACCTCTGCTCTACCCAGCAGCAAGCATGACCTTAGCAGAAATATAGTCAAGCCTGTGCTGAGAACTCTCCAGTCAAAGTGGATGGGCATATGGATGGGGCAGGACTGAAGGCAGAATCCTTCGGGGACCAGACGATGAGTGGTACCTGGTGGTTTAGTATACTTTTCTGTCTTCTTGTGTTTGCTCCAAATTCTAGTTAGTAAAATGTTTTTATATTTTTAAAAAATGCTTCCCATGTCTTTCTATTTCTGTGAGGATCCACACCATGCTGTTAACATGGCCTCCAAGCCCCCCCTGTTGGCCTAGCTCACACTCCCTCTCCGAGAGAGTTAGGGTAGGAAGGAGGAGCAGTAGGGGTGTGCCTCCCCATATTCATGACAAAAGACCATTTGAGAAACCCAGTATTTGAATACATCTCTCTAGGTTATTGATGGCACCTTGGTTTGGTTTAAGCCAGTGGTTGGTCGGCAAATTGCAGCTGGCGAGCCACCATCGGCTCTTTGGCCCCTTGAGTGTTTAGCAAAGGCCAGCTTAGGAGTACCTAATTAAGCTAATAACAGTGTACCTACCTATATAGTTTAAAGTTAAAACATTTGGCTCTCCAAAGAAATTTTAATCATTGTACTGTTGATATTTGGCTCTGCTGACCAATGAGTTTGCCGACCACTGGTTTAAGCCATTCCCAGCTTTGTTGAAACCAGGAGCTAATGAGTTCTTATCTCCCGTTGTCAGTCCTCTCCCCATTACCTCACCTCCCTCTTACTCATCCTTTTGGCTCCTTCCCTCCCCCCTGATTGCACTCTCTTTCCCCCCACCCCCCCACCGTGTGAAACAGGCCTTGATGAAGTCACCAGTGACCTTTCTTTCACTGATGCAGCCAACATGTTCGTTCAGTCCATGTCTTCTTTGACCTCCTGGAGCACTTAGCTGCTGCTCATTTCCTCCTTCCCAAGATCCTGGGCTCCCTTGACATTTGGGATGATGCTCTCATGGTCCTCCTACCTCTGTCTTTGGAAGGACACTCTTCCTTGCCAGCCTGGACATGTTCATAGTCCTCAAGGCTCGATCCCCCGTCTTCCTAGACAGTCTTATCCAGGGTCTTAAATGTCATCTACACACAGGGGTCAAGTTTTTATGTTTCCGACCCAAATGGCCCCCCGGGCTCTGGACTCGCACCATCCCATGTAGAGTCTCTCGCCACGTCTAACTATTGAGCATTTGGAGCGTGCCTCGTCCAGAGGTCTGCAAACTCATTAGTCCACAGAGCCAAATATCCACAGTTCAACGATTGACATTTCTCTGGAGAGCTGAAAACCAACTTCTGCGCATGGGCCATGAAGTTTCAATCGCACTGTACGTGTGTGCCCGCACGTGGTATTTTGTGAAAGAGCTACACTCAAGGGGCCAAAGAGCCACAGTTTGCCGACCACTGGCCTAGGGCAACTGAGAAACCAAGCATTTCCCTTTAACTCATTAATGTGGAAATGGCCACATGTGGGTAGAGGCTAAAAGGTTACACCGTGTAGACATAGACTATTTCCATTGTCACAGAAGGTTCTGTTGAACAGCTAGACATCCATGTCCCGTCATATCCAACCACCTGCTTGACACTGTCACTTGGCGGTCTCAAAGTATTTCGAGCCAAAGCCGGTTTGACTCAGTGGTAGAGCGTCGGTCTGCGGACTGAAAGGTCCCAGATTCGATTCTGGTCAGAGGCATGT